TGCCAATTACACTTTTGTATTCTTCCCTCACTCATCCCCAGCAATACTAACAAAATAGGACATGTTACTTTTCACATTAAAGTCTTCAGAAGTAGTAAGGAGCAGATGCTGAACCCAGTGATTCACATTCTTAAATAATCTCCCACGATTCAGTAAGCAGAAAAAGGGAGCAGAAAGTCAGAATTGTAGATAGAATTCAGATTCTTTTTCTTTCAAGGACGCATTTTATACAATTTTCAACATTTATACTTTCAAACAATGGGCAAAAAATACACTGAGTGCTAAAAAAAAATCAAAACAGAAGTAATACAATTTTAATTTCAATATTTTAAAATACAGAAATTGGAAAGAATACTAAATACAACTTTAAACAAGTCACTTGTCCTTCCCTATAATAATCAATGTAAGCTACTTAAAGACTTACAAATTTAAAGTAAAACAGAAACCAAATAAATACTGTACACTTTCCCTGCCTGCAGGCAAAAGATGGGAAATACTGTTATGAATCAGCAAAGAAATGCTCTTCAAGCTTCAGCACCCCACCTCCCAGCCACACCCCACGCCATTGTCACACAGTGGGCTTCCGGACTGAAAGGACACATGTGTCACACACACTGACTGCCTATACAAACAGACAAGACGCTATTCCGCAGACACCCCAAACAAGAACAGTCCCCTCGGACCGTGGGCATAAAAACCAGTAAGAAAAGTCAGGGTAGCAAAACATTACTACAAAACTAGTAAATACCAGAGCCAACAACTGTCCCCTCTCCAAATTTCACAGATTTAAAACCCCTAAAACCAATACTACCCCTCCCCATCACCCCCCCAGAAAAACTTGCTGAAGCACTGGCAAAGTTAGACATTTCACAGTAACTGTGAAAGTTCACATTACATAATCTCTAAAAATGAACCTTTTCACCCTCTTTCCACAGCATGAAACTGTTATGGCTTAATTTATATTAAAAGTAGAAAAGTCTTTTCTGAAGGAAATACAATCTGCGAAGATGCATTTCCTGATCAGTGCTATTTCATACCTAACAACTGTATGACTTACTTTTGCAGTCAGAAGCTGTTTTTGGAAAAATTGAGGTTATAGCTTTTGATTCAGTCTAACCATAAAACTGTAAGGCCCTTAGTTTGGTTTAGGTTTCTTTTGTAAGATAAAATAACCTTGGGGTTCACTTAGCAAGTTACACCTCAGGTCCCTGACTATAATGTGGAAGTTATACGTAGCTTTGTAAAAATAAAAGGTTACTTATGAATCTGAGAGAGAAGAAATGATTCTAGGCAAGGAATTAACTCCTCCTTACATTTTACATTTAACGCTGGTAAGTTTTACCAACCAAAATACACCAAAGAAATATGAGAGTATGTCTGGCTTATTTTATGCTTGTGAAGTATTATATATTACAGCACTTGTGATCATTGTTTTGGTGAAAAATCTTGGAGGAAAACAGCTGACATTTTGAAAAGGAAATGGCCAAAATAAAACTGGTTGGAGACAGTTTTACCTTTATAATTAAGCTCCATTTATGACTACTTTCTGAAATTAAAAAAAAAGTGAATTCAGAATGTCACAGGTCTTGCATAGGTAAACTACTTGGAGGTCAAGGGCTACGTGGTAGCCAGGGTTTATTAGTGAAATAGTGCAGAGCAGATAAACTTAGTAGAATCACTGAATACAGTTTCAAAAAGGCTTAACAAAAAAATCTAATGTTATACTTGTTAAGTCAAAGTGTTAAGACACTAGAAAGGGCACCAGAGTGAAGGGGAGAATCTAAGGATATTGCAATAAAGTATTATTTTCTCCTCTCAATTAACATGAGGAAAAAATACTATAGAAGGATAAAATCAGTCAATCACAACAAGCTAATTGCTTTGGAAATAGACATTTACTTCCTAATGACCTTAATTTTTAAAACTTATGTTAAGGATATCAAATATTTGACTTTATAGCATGACAAAAAGGGAAGGGCTTCTGGGAAGGCTACAGTAGTAAAATTACATTATGTTCGACAGCAACAGAATAAGAAAATTCTTCCCCTTTCTTTCCACCTGGTTTCAAGGAAGTATATCAACATCATCCCACAGGACAAGCCGAGGCTGCACAGCATCACAAACCAGGGGCTGTTTTTGGAAGCAAGGTATCAGAGGCCCCAGATCCATTGTGTATCCCCAGGCAAATCACTGCCCGCTCTGGGTTTCCTGTGTCTCCTTTATTTACCAGTGACACTCTGTCTAGGCTAAAGATCTGATGCTCAACCTTCTCAAGACTGCTTTAGAGGAAGGTCTAGGACACCAAGAAAAGACTGGTGAGCTCTAGCTTCTCTTTATGTGGTAAGCAATTAACTTAATATTTAATGAGAAAAATGAATTTTTGATAATTACGCCTAGCAGTAGCATACTGGGTCACATGATTATTCTAATCAACTCTATAGTCTTACTGCTGCAGAAACCATCTTTTGAAAAAGCCAGAAAGAATCTTGTCTGTCGAAGATGTCTGGTGGAGTCTCCCTTTCTACAGTGGTTTCTCTCTACCGAGCAAGCTATTGGTACCCAACCCAGAGCTGTCTGTGCATTCTCACCATTCTGCCTCATTCGCCCCACAAGTTCCCTGGGGAGTTGCTAAGTCATTTAATTTCATGACTTCCTTCACCTTTAGTACCTAAAGAGTATGCTGAACCTTTGGGGATGGTACTTTCCTAATTCTTCCAGAAAAACCAAAAGCCATCTTTCAGTTAAATCACCCTAACGTACTTGAGGATACACATTCTCACTCTCTTATCCATAAACCTCATTTCTTTTTTTTCCACTTCAAGCACAAAGTCTGATTTTAATCCAGCACCTTGTTGGAGATTCTTCGGATTTTTATAGTAGCATGCCCTGGGCATATATTTGATATAAAACAAACATCATGAATAACATTAGTTTTCATTAAAAATATATATATAAAGGTGCATTCATTAATTACCAGTTTTCACTTAATAAGTTCTCTGTAAGTATGAAGTGTCAATAAGATTATGTTTTTCTTAATTATCATAATAAACATTTTAATCCAAATTTACAAATGAGAAAACTCAGACTCAGAAAGAATAAGTGACTTAATCAAGGTTATACAGCTGATACCTAAATGGCAGAACTTGGACCAAACCCCAGGTCTTCTGCTTCCTGGCACGCTACACTGAGTCCCTGTATGACCATATTAAATTACCAAGTTGAAGTGTTTCTTAAATTGTGAAATTACTTTCACTTCTACAGTGGCATATCTCAGTTGAAACTAAAAAAGTTAGGGTGTTTTTTAATGAACAGGTCCTCTTTTGCTCATGTTTGCTTAGAGGTGAAAATAATAGTTTTAATTTCCTGGAGAAGACCTTCAAGGGCAGAGACCACAACTGCAACTTTATATTCCCCCACAGTACTAGGTAGTGCTGGGCGCACAGTACGTGTTTGATAAATACCTGTTGATCCCATATGAATAAATACAGTAGACTATATTGAAAAGGCAGTAATTAGGATTATTTAAAAATAGAAAAGTATTGGCCGGGCGCAGTGGCTCACACCTGTAATCCCAGCACTTTGGGAGGCCGAGGCGGGTGGATCACGAGGTCAAGAGATCGAGACCATCCTGGTCAACATAGCGAAACCCCGTCTCTACTAAAAATACAAAAAAAAATTAGCTGGGCATGGTGGCGCGTGCCTGTAATCCCAGCTACTCAGGAGGCTGAGGCAGGAGAATTGCCTGAACCCAGGAGGCGGAGGTTGCAGTGAGCCGAGACCATGCCATTGCACTCCTGCCTGGGTAACAAGAGTGAAACTCCGTCTCAAAAAAAAAAAAAAAAAAAAAAGAAAAGAAAAGTATTCAAGCTAATTAGTGATAAAGATGGACTTGTTTTCTCTGAGTTTATGATTTCAGTCAGAATCTTCAACTCTTTACGCTTAAAAATCAACTGATACTTATGAAGTACAATGTATTTCTAGCATAATGGACTACTACAAACTGCCAACTTTATATTGTTTACATCATTCATCAATATTAAAAAGCATATTATGTGACATTGTGAATTACAATCCAATGGATCCCAGCTGAAGAGTCACTTATTTGAAACAATACAGGAAAATTATCATCTATTACTATTACTAAAGTTGCATATGTTAACTCATAATTCTCAATTTTACATATTTGTATTTGCTTACAACTAGCTAAATGCTATCAGTGCTGTCTTCCTAAGTTGTTGTGTCTGTATGGTGTATGAATGAGGTTCTCTATTACTGTTAAGCCCAGGTACTGGCGGCAGTTATCACAAAGTTCAGCTATTTCCATGAGCTATAGGGATGCATCACAGCCAGTAATGTTATAAGAGGTTTAACTAGGAGTCACTGGATCAGTGGCCGAACTTTCACCAATTCAGAAAAAGATACATGGATTATATTAGTGGTTCTATTACCTTGCTGAAAGTTTTCTGACTTAGCCCCTTAATGAGCTAAAACTACTAACAATGAATACATAGTACCTTCACTTTAGAATTCCACATACGGGCTATTCCAAATTAGTTTTCCTCAGCCTAAGAACACAGTGGATACTGGCCACAATTTTAATTCATAAAAATAAAATAAATTTCATTTTAATTCACAAAAATAAAGTTTCATTTTAATTTTTGTGGCTAAATAAAAAAACTGAAAATACTCAGAGTTGTGAAAAACATAAAAAAAAAAACATCATGATATTACAGGAAAAGGAAATTATAGCTCTTAAAACCTCCTATTTCTCGAAACCAAAATAAAAACATGACTATTGTTAACACCAACTCAGGATCTACAGAAAACCAACACGTCACAAGAATATACTGTATGGGAAGGTAAGGGAATCAGTCAAACCCAGATTTTTGACATCCTGAGATAAGATGACTCTACCCATCTTCCCACTGGTTTTGGCATAGTGTAGACAGGGTTTACACAGGTTGTTCACAGACACTGAGGATTTTCACAAAAGTCTTCTTCCTGATACCCAGATAAGATTCAGACTTTGGTCCATCTGAACCAGCAAGGCTACTTCATAAACTATTTGATATTTATCCCATGAAATTTTGGAATGCAGACACTAAGGAATATTTTTCTTTGAAAATCATGGTTGCATTCAAATGTGTAAAGATGATGGTATAGACTTTTTTCTTATTAGCAATTCAAGTGATAATACAGAAGGGTTAAGTCCTGCTATATTGCTAAGTAAAAAAAGACAAATCCATAATATGGCCATACTTCTCCACAAAAGTAAATTTTATCTATTTGCCTATATTTTCTTTGTAGGAATTTGTAAAATGCTCTATTGTCAGACTTGAGAACATTTCCACCCCACCCCCAGAAATCACTTATTTTTATGCCATGAAAGGAAAAAAAGGGAAAATGGGTACTACAAGCAACTGAAATCTGCATTTAGTAAAAATTATACATAAAGGAGATAAATAATTAAAGTTTAACCGGATACTTAACTTCAGTATGCACTTGTCAGATTAGGATAGATGGAATAAACTGCCAGAAGCACCCATTTTACTCCAAATCCATATCTTAAATAATTCTTTAGAAAATTAAGAAATGAAAAAGTAAATACACACAAAAAATCTATTCCAACATGCTTGCTTCTATACAAATTAATGTAGTATTAATCCTATATATTACGGCTTATTATGCAGATTTGAATATCCTAAGTCAAAAATATTTTCAACAAATCAGATATGGTGAATAAAAGCATCGTAAGATATAACCTCTGCAGCAGGTGTCAGTCCTGTTGTGCAACACCAGCAGTATGAAGAAGGCCCACTGTAGTTACAAATGTATTTGGAAAAACTATAAACATGACAATTTAACCAAACTTATAATACTTTTCCCTAAAATAGGAAAAAGATATTAAAGCTGTTCTCTTTGGGACCCAGATATTATCAGCAGAAATGAAAATGCAAAAGCCTATTTTTTTTTTAATATTGAGAAGAAAATCACAATGTCAAACAAAATGAGGGATCTTTTACGGAGTTCTTACACATTGGCTATGAAAGTGTTTCCCTGCAAAGAGAAGAGTCTCACTGGGTTATCACAAAATGATGGGAGTGCAGAGGGAAGTGAGATATAAGTTAATCAACCTGGATAACAGTATGCACCTTGGATGTTAGCAAAAGCGAAGCTAATAGCTTATAAAAAACACATGAAATATATAAAATAAAATGATTTTCATATACATCTTAATTTAAAATAATTAATGCATCAAATCCCTGTTTAAGACTTTAACCTGAATATCAAATTTAAGAGTCCAGACTAGTTACTGTTACCGTGGCTCTTCCCCACATGTAACACACACACTATCAAAAATAATTTAAAAACCATCACATTCTTACATCTAAATTAGTGAGATATTTCTCCAGAAATCTTCCAAATAAATAGCTTTAAAAAAAGAATTTAAAAGCTGTTAACTTTAAAAAAAAAATCTGTTAAATAAATTATTGATAATTCTTTACCCTACCACTGAAAATACATCCAGACACTACCAACAACAAAATAAAATTCAAGCCCTGACAAGAGACCCTTTCCAGTTCAAGGTCTCTTTTTAAGGTTCTACCCTCCTCCTTCCTCTCCCCCACCAGGTCCAAAATGGTTATTGCTGAGTGGGTGTGGCACAGTGAAAATGCAGCATCAGGTTCATTCTGTTCTTCGGGCAGTGTTCTTACTATTCACACAAACTGCTCCAGGCAGGGGGATGGCAGAAGCTCCAGGCTCCTGCACCCCTAGACTGGTCTCCAAAGGGAAGAATGGCTGCAACAGCAGCTCTGTCACACAAAGAAACGTGCATGGCCATTTCTGTTCAACTTAAGGATCTTCCCAAGACGTTGTTTGGCTGTTGCCATTCCTTTTTTTGGACGTTTACCTATAAAACACCAAAAGGAGTATAAATAGCAATGAAAAGCACACTTAAGAGGGCACCTGGAAGACTACAGGGAGAGCTCTGTGACAAGTAAACCCTTAGGTGTTCTGCATGAACAAAGTCGCACTTCTGGACTTTCAGTGTTTAAAACCCTTCCACCTCATCAAATTATCTATAAGGCCTTCCCACAGTCTGGTCTGCCTACTCTTCAGCCTGGGCTCTTTCTGGTCCCACGTTAAACTGTGCTTTGGCAACAAAACCGACTACAGTTTCACAAATACCCCATATCCTGTTTCTCCCCTTTGTGCTATGGCTCAGGCTCATTCCTCTGCCTTCAAAGCTGTTTATTCTGTCACTTCTCCCAGCTCAGCCTGGCTAACCCCTGTGCATCTGATTTTAGGATCTGTCTCCTGCTCCTCAGAGCTGACTTGGATATCCTTTTTCTTTGTTCCCATAGTAACCTGTGCATACTGCCATCACTTTGCTGTCCATGATGCACGAGATGTTGAACAACTTCACTGCAGAGACTACACCTAAACTGCCATGATGACCATCATATACAGTCAGAAATGTCCTTCCTCTAGACACGTGTGAAAGTTACCTTTTGTTGCCTGGTTGCTGATAGGTGGTGGATTTGATGCCGGTCTCTTGGTGGGGTGAAGGGGCAATGAGAAGGAAGTTTCACCAACTGGCCTTTCTGGGCTTAGACTGCCGTTACTTATCTGGCACGCCCCCGAAGTCAGGTTTGAATTCTGCATATACTTTCCATTCTGAAGGCTTGAGCTGCTGCTGTCCACGTAATTCCTACTTTGTACCCTCTGACTAATTTCTGATGAACCTTCCTTTTTGATGCATTTCTGGCTTCTACTTAGATCCTGAAGGAGAAGGAAGGAAATGAAGCTGAATTTTTAGGGTTTATATGAGGTATTCAAGCTCTCTGCACACACTGGCAAAGTCAAGTGAGAAGAAACAAACTACTGAATTCTGATTTTCTTTGTTCCCATAGTAACCTGTGTATACTGCCATCACTTTGCTGTCCATGATGCATGAGATGTTGAACAACTTCAGTGCAGAGACTACACCTAAACTGCCATGATGACCATCATATACAGTCAGAAATGTCCTTCCTCTAGACACGTGTGAAAGTTAGCCACAGATGACCACTCCTGCATGATGTCATCTCAGTCCACTGACCTAACAACTCTGAAGGACTTGGATCTTGAAGTTGCATCACAAGTTAAGGGGAAAGAGAGTGAGAAAGAACAATGGAAACAGGCACTGCGCCCTACTTGCTACTCCACTCAATAAGCATGTGCCATGCAGGGACCCTGAACTGGGGGAATGGGTTCCCCGCTTCCTTGGCATGTCACAGTTCCCTCTGACCTTACATATGTGATGTTCTTTTTTAGAACCTATCTTCGGTCAGGTTCATCTCCACTGTATTTGTTTTTTAGAAAATCCTTAGATCCAGCGTCCCAAGCTTGATGTTTTCCTTTTACTACAACTATTGTTTTAGTCTCTTAAGACTACTGAGTCAACTTTCAAGGGGAAAAAAATGCTACTGACTGGTGAGTCTTGAAATTAACTGAGAGGGTCATAACCTCTCAGCATTAAAAAGAGAAAGGAATAGACTAGATGTGAACAGAGTCCACCATAGTGTGACTGTTTCATGAAACCAGTTTTCATTATGCTAATTATCTATCCTCTATGTCTTCATTTATTTTCAAAAACAATTATTAAAAAAAAAAAACCTGATTTAAATAATAGCTTACATTACATAATCCTATATAGTGCTAATAAGTGATAAACTTTATGACCAGCTACAGTGAGGCACTATAAAATCATATACTCAAAAGTAAATTATAACAAGATTTCTTATGACCTTTGACTCTGGAATATATCCTTCTAGTCAAAGAATGTATACTCACAAAGACTTCCTTTAAAAAAATAACTTGCCTCTCTTTATTATAAAAGTAATTGCTAAGCCAAATAATAATAATAAAATAATAAAAACCACCCATTATTCCACTATTCAGAGATTAATGATGTTCCATATTTAGGGGTAGAGTCTATTCTGTCTATATACACAGATATCTCCTCCTCCAGAGATTTTAGTTCATTCCTCCAATCAACCCAGAGTTATGGAAGATGGCAAAACCTAAGAGGCCCTTTTCACTTATGCTGAGGTGTTTCAGTGCTATGTGAAAGCTTTATTCACAAGAGATTTTCCCTTCACTTCTTAAAACAGTCTACTCATGTTCTCCTCTACCTCCCCTTTCCTCCCTCCTTCCCTTCTCCCCCACAAATGTTTCTTCACACGAAGGAGAACTAGAGGCAATATTCCTGCCTTTGCTGATTTACTTTCTTTCTTATGTGTGCTTCAGTTAGAGAGGTTTGGGGCCCCACTGTCACATGAAAACTTTTTATTCTTTCTCTGGCTGCCATTTTCCAAGGTTTACAGCAAAAGGTTGTATTACTTTGCTTGTTTGGTGCTATTGGTAACGTTTTACTTTTTTCAGAACTGCTACTTTGGGTTCATTTTGTTTAACATAAGCATTAATATTCTGGGATCCTAAAGCATCCAGGTTTTTCTTTTACATCAAAGGTTCTTAACCTGGAGCCAGTGGATGGTCTGGGGCAAGAGGGGGTGGTAGTAGCACAAATAGTGAGTAATGTAAGCAAAAGTCGTGTTTATTATCAATGTTTTTTCTAGAAAGATAATCTGTAACTTTCATGAAATGCTCAAAGAAATTTGGTATCCAAAACCATTCAAGAAACAGCATCAGAGATTAAAAAGAGAACTTCATGATATTCTTTTCCTTTAATATTTCATTCTAACCGGATATAACCTACAGGGGTTGGCAGCCAGTGGTTTTTTAACTGCTTCCTTGAATAAATTATTCTTTTCCAGATCGCATTCTATCCATGAGCCTTATGTTAGTCATCATTTCAGCATCTCTCAAAATGGACAGTTGTTCAAATGTGGATTTAATTATAATTTTTTGGCTGCCTAGATCTGGCACTTGATAACCAGTTGATACAATTTTAAAAAAGAAAGCAAAAACAAAGTTAATGACCATTTTAAATCTCCTTTTAAGGTTTCAAACTTTGAACATACCTGAGGATTAAATCTAGAATTATCAAACTGTTTAATCCAGGAGGAAGTCCTCAAGTCTTGTTCTTCAGTCTTGACATGGTATCCTAAAGAGAAGTTTTAGTTTAAGTAACTTTGTACAAACTTGATCTGAAATGACAAAATTAGCCTAATGCTTAAAAATGAAAGTAAATTTATGTTGACATTTTATTTAAAAACATATTAACTCTTTAGATACTCATTTGTGTACTTTCACTTTCACTATATGCCTTTCCCTCTCAAAAACAAGTCACCAGCTCATAATCTATTATGCTAATTCTTTCAATTCTCTCAAAGATTGCCTTCATTCATTCATTCGCTAGTCAAGTGAAGCAGTGAGATGGAGAAGGAACAAAGAAATATGTAACTGTTCATGATCAATTAGTTATAAACACCACACCACACTCAGACTAGCCTCAAAGACTGTCTTTATATAATGGGTTTTGGGTTAGATGCTGGAAGATCTAGAATCAAATTCTATGGCCACCTATTTATTGTATATGTAAAACCAATGCAATAATTCTCTCTAAAAATGGTGTATTTTTCCACATAGAATAGAAGCAGGTAATAAGCAAAGAATTTGAGATCAGATGGTCAATTTCCAATATATCAAATTCCAATACCACTGACTAATATCTATGTGAAGTGTGGGCAAGTTAAATTAATTTCACTAAGTCTTATTTCCTTTACCTGTAAAATCGGAGTAAATTTTACCTACAATTATTTTAAGAATTAAGTGAAATAACCAGGCATGGTGGCTTACACCTGTAATCCCAGCATTCTGGGAAGCAGAGGCAGGAGGATCACTCAAGCTCAAAAGTTGGAGATCAGCCTGGGAAACATAGTTGAGACCTCATCTCTACAAAAAGTCAAAAAAGGGCAGCCCCCTGGCACCAAGCAACCTGAAAGTACCCCAGCCCAGAAGCTAAAAAGTCAAAAAATTAGCCAGGTTTGGTGGCATGCAACTGTAGTCCCAGCTACTTGGAAGCTGAGACAGGAAGACTGCTTGAGCCCTGGAGGTTGGGACTACAGTGAGCCGTGTTTGTGCTACTGCATTCCAGCCTGGGCAACAACGTGAGACTATCTCAAAAAAAATTATTTAAGTGAAATGGATGTCAAGCTCCTGGTACACAGTTGATAATTATGTAGGATCAAACACAATTATTATATAGGCATTCAATTTTAACACAGTACTATCTTTTCCGCAGTCCTCCTCAGGCTTTTTGGGATACAAACATTTTCTCTAAAGTCACAAAGAAGAAAACACTATGTGGCATGCCTAACATTACCACAAGTCGACTCTCTCTTCCTAATACTTTCTTTTCAAGTTGAGAAAGAATAGCCTCAATCAGAAAGAAACAGTTCAAAACTTGTTTTTCTTCTCATAAAAGGAAAAAGGGTTGATTGTTCAAAGTTAGCTGACCATTTAAAGCACCAAAACACTCCTTCCACTGTGATCAACCTGCCTGTAAAAGGGAAATACTACTAACTGGCTTGCAACAGCAATGGTAGAATGATGCCAGTGAACACATTTGTCAATCCCAGGTAATTCATTTTGAGTTCTTCTGCTTCCATCTTACATGGTATGTCAGAATTGCGGTTTTTTTGGTCAACCTTCTTAACGCATTTAAAGATGTGTAATGAACATGCCTTACTCATAATCTCTAACCTAAATAAGGATTATTGAGCCATTAAGTTAGGCAACATATGTTACTTTTTAGAAATTGACAATTTATGTTTCTTACCACATTCCACTGGTTTATCATAGCGATACAACTGCCTAACCTCAAGGTTACTGCTATGGCAGCTGCTGGGATCCTGGAGAGAGCTTCTTTCACCACTGCAGTCTGTGCTTTGTATTTGCCTTTGTAAACAAGTGGAATAGTGCAACCCTGCCATAGATAGCATGCCCTGAATAGCTTCTTCCTCTGTGCTCGTCGAGGTAGGACATTCCCTAAAGAGGAGATGATCCAAAACACAAGAGTCTAGTTTTTCCGATGACAGTTTTGGTAAAATTTAAAACTAAAAAAAATGTCATAGTATTTATCTTACAGTATAATAAGACTACTACTATCAGCAAGCCTACCTTTTAACTGGAATTTCACTTCTAGATGGCTTCTGGCTCTTTTGAAGGAAGTTCCTCATCACATTCGATTCCTCCTTAAAGTTGGATGTTATTTCTTGTTTCTTTTCATCACCTGAACTTTCAGACTCTTCAGTGGTAAAATTATTTTTCTGAGATAATAATTACATGGAAACAAAGCTACATAAGAAATTGACCACATCTGTACAAATTAATCCAAAAAGATTTTATACATCTAGGGAAAGTCAGAAACTTAATTATCATGGAATTATTTCTGTATTTCACATGAGAAAAAATCAAAATATTAACTACATGAATATATTACCTTGATTTAAAAAATCCACAGTACAAGCTTTCTTTAAGGTAAAATAAAATCTATGAGAAATATGAAACAAGAATAGTAAAAGCAGAAGAGTCTTTCCCTCCACCCTTTCCAAAATCAGACAAAAGCTGTATTTCTCAAATGTGAGTGGTCACATGATGGTGTGTGTACAGTGACCACCACATGAAGACCCTGTGCTACGGTAAGTCAGGAGACAAGCTTTGGGAAAAGCTCTCATTTGCCTTCCTTCCAGGAGAAGTTACATGGGTGCTCATCTTTCGATCAAATAACGTACAAGCCACGGGGTCTCAGGCGTACCAGTGCAGTGCACTCGGGTCCGGAGTCTTCTGACTCAGAAATATCAGAATATCCTGATGGTCTACTCCTGAGTTCTGATTTCACATGTGTAAAAAACCCTGAAAAAGAATGAAAGGTTGAGAGAAAAAGAGAAAGTCATTCGACTATGGTGAACAAGGTGACAAGGTGATATTTAAAGTCCATCCAGCTTTGTGATGTCTCTCAATCTCTCTTGTTCTATCCTTCTTTTTTTCACTTTTATTTTCTTCATTTCTTTCTCCTCTCAAGGTCTTTCTCCCTAATTGGCCAAGATACAGACTGAAGTATATTCTCAAATATAAGTGTGGTATTTACTAAACATAATTGTATATTCCTTATATTGATAGCTAAAAAATGCTGAAACGAAATAGCTACTAGATGCTTTTCACGTTTCTCCTTTTGCATTAGTTATATCATTAGAAAACAAAAAGATAACTTTCCCAAATGTAAAAAGCATTCATGTAGAGTGAATTCAACAAGCTTATAAACTGGGCTTTCTCTTTCATGAGGCACTGCCATACAGCAGTGGTTTGATGGATTCCTGTTGACTAGCACCTTTTTCCTGGCATGTGTGCATAGGCAGAATCACCAACTACAGCAGTGCCAGTTTTACCCAGATTAGCAGGAACTGGGGTGTTCAACATAGATTAAATAATGTTAGTTAATCTGAAACATTTACTTGTCAAGTATCAAAATATTTATTTGAACTACTTTTTAAAATAAAAAGGAATACAGAGATCCTGAAATATGTTGAGAAATTAAAGCTTAATTCAAAGAAAAAAAGATCTTAAGGAGAAGGAGGTGTTACCATTTTGCCACACTGACGATAACCAATTAATAACCCAGTAGAGGCCTTCTTGTCAACAGGTAATCAATTAAAACCACAATACGTAGATTACTAACAGCTTCAGATTAGCCAATCATATATATTTCCTAATTCTGAAAACCATCTACATGGTCTGAAATTATATATAAATTAAACTGGAAACTTTTATTTTGGGGAGTAGAAGCCTATAACATGCATGAGCTTTCATGTGACTCTGTAAAAGCTGACTAGAGCAGCACATCTCTAACCCACATGCATCCCCTCACTAAGAATACCGTCCCTGGCCACTACACCTCACTGGGCATTCACGTTCAGCACTTCTGTGATGGGTGAACTACTCAGACATACTTCAGATTTTTCAAGACAGTTTTAGGGACACAAAAGTTTTCTGCTATTATAAACTTAAGAACTTGAAAAGTAGCAAGTTATTTTACATATTATCACATTAGTAATGAAACTATCTTTAAAATAACCATTAAAACAAACATACTGTTCAGTGGTTTCTGAGATTCTTCATTTTCCACCCCCTCTATTCCTGAACTCTCTTCTATCTTCATTTTTGCCTTTTTTGTCCTTCTTTTATCCTCTTCATTTTCACTATCTGCTGTATAAAGACTCTGATCTGTGAAGGGCTGTCTTTCATCTCTGTATCATGAAGGAAAAATAACCAAGTTAGAATATAGTGCAAGACTCTGTAGCCAAATAGTATTTATTCCCCTCTCCCTTAATTTACAAAAAGTAGAGAATTGAGACACTGTCCCCATAGTTCAATCAACCGTGTAACAGTATGCAGTAGGGATCTAAGGTTTGTTTTATGTTTGTTTTTCTTTTTTGAGACAGGGTCTGCTCTGTTAGCCCTGGTTGGAGTGCGGTGGCACAATCATAGTTCACTGTAACTTTGAATTCCTGGGCTCAAGTGATCCTCTCACCTCAACTCTCATGTAACCAGGACTACAGGCATGTCCACCACACCCAGCTAATTTATTTTTATTTTTTTGTAGAGATGGAGTCTTGCTAAGTTGTCCAGGCTAGTTTTGAACTCCTGGCCTCAAGAGATCCTCCCACACTGGCCTCCCAAATCAACCTGGGATTACAGATGTGAGCTACTGAGCTCACTACAGGTTAAACAGGGGTCCCCAACCCCTGGGCCATACATTGGCACTAGTCCGTGGCTTGTTAGGAACTGGGCTACACAGCAGGAGGTGAGTGGTGGGTGAGTAAACATTACCACCTGAGCTCCACCTCCCGTCAGATCAGTGGCAGCATTAGATTGTCATAGGAACATGAACCATATTGTGAACTACACATGTCCAAGAATTACACACTCCTTACAAGAATCTAATGCCTGATGATCTGAGGTAGAAGAGTTTAATCCCAAAACCATCCCCTGGCTGTGAAAAAATTGTCTTCCACAAAACCAGTCCTTTGTGCCAAAAAGGCAAAGGACCCCTGGGTTAAATGAACAAAGGGAACCCAATGAAAATTAATCTATTTGATACTCTGTTTTACTTTACATACTTAATTATTCTTCCATTTGTCAACAGTAATCGTAGATCATTATCTTTCGCTCTCCATTCAGGTACTGTGGAAGATGGCTGGAGATGTTTGTTGAATTTTCCATTCAGTTTAGAGCTCAAGATGTCCTGAAGGTATAAAAGCAGAACTTACTTCCCATCCACCCTCAGGTAGCCCTGCTTGACTGAGGGAATACAGTATACCACCACCACTGCTGCCAATGGCCCTGCCTCTCAAAGATACAGGACAGCCACCTGGGCTTGGGGATATGCAGCAGTATGGCACTCCAGAGTTCCCACAGCCAAAGCAAGAGTATAGCTCATCTTTCTGGAGGGCTATTAACTATGAAATACATTTTAGAAAGTAAAACATAAAATATGCATAAAGCGAATTCAAAGAAATTTCGTTCTTGCAGAAAGCTGAAAAACGAGCAGCACTGCCTCAGGGTATTTTATATCTCTTCCCCTTGCTTCTTCCTGCTAAAGTGCTAGCTACTGGTGCCTTTCCATTCACCCATCCTCCACCTACAGTAAGCAACTTACAGGCCACCACATAGCTATCACTAGGAACAAAGGCCACCATGCAACATAAAGATAGTAGCTGGGTCTTAAGGCATGAAAAAGATTTCCTTTTCACAGTGATTTTCCCCTTAATAATAAATAGAACCTTTCATAATAAACTTAATCTTCTCTGATTACAGTTTAGAACAACATAATATAATTACATACATTTAAAATATTTAAAGTGTGTGTGTGTGTGTGTGTGTGTGTGTGTGTAATCTTTTTTTAAAGCCAGGATCTAGCTACGTTGGCCTTAAACTCCTGGGCTCAAGTGATCCTCCTGCCTTAGCCTCCCTAGTAGCTGAGACTATAGGCCGACACCACAGCACCTGGTTCTTCAATCTTATTCATTTAAAATTGTTGCTTATCCACTACTTGGGATATAAAATTATGGATGATGCAGAGCTCAATACAAAGTCATTGCCATGTTCTTCAAAGGCGCTACACAGATTTCATTACTGCCTCCCATTCTCCCCTTTGTCCAGCAGGCCAGCACTTCACAAAGTTCAGTGAGTTTCTTCTGATAGTCTCCCAGTCTAACAGTCCTCCAGGCTGACTGTGGGATCAAGTAGAGGCTTTCTGCATTTGCTCTTCCCTCTGCCTGTAATGCTGTTCCTCCAATCACCTTATAACCATCTGACTTCCTCCTATTTGTTATTCAGCTGTCAGTTCAAACCTGAGAGGTTCTCTGACCACCTGAGCTAAAGCAGCCAGCTCTACCTCATCCCCCTTTATTCTGTTGTTCTATTGTTTTGCTTTTTTAAAATAACACTTAATAATCTGAAATTTATTATTTTAATATATGTCTCTGTCTCCCCATCCTTCTTGAAGAAGGATGGAAGCTTCATGAGGGGCAGAGACTTAAGTTTTGCTCACCATCTTCCCAGAGCCTAGCAGAGGAAGTGGTACTTGCTAAAGACTCAGTAAACTTATCAGCAATCGAATGAGGTCTGTTCATTCAAATGCTACACTAAAAGCTAGAAAAATTAAGCACCACTCCCTGTCACAGGCAAAATTACTGGTTGATCCCGACAATGCTGCAGCAAAGATTAGGTACCAACAATAGTCAGATTATTCTCTTGTTATTATCCCTTTAAAGAACTTTAAAGAACCAAGTTATTTTTGTTGTCATGAAACATAATACTTGCCTCTTCCCATGGACACATCTCTAATCTTTTGAGGACTTCCCTTGTGTGGAGCTCTAGAATGTCTAGGTTAGAAGGAGTTCGGACATTATGATCTCGAAGTTTCCTCATCTTTCTTCGGGAATGGTATGGGGAAGTTGCTTCATTTGAGGATCGTGAAACTGGACACACAGGAGGAATTCCCTGAGATTTAACTGGTTTGCCATTTTCCTCCTTTAAGAATTAAAATCAGAGTATTTTTATGAGACAGCTATTACATACATACCTAACTAAATAATCATCCATAAAAATATTTTAGAAAGCAAAAACCATTCAGTTAAACCATATAAACAACAAAAAAAAGACAGGACATCCTAAGCTTCAAACAGTTTTGGTGAGATCTTTATTCCCTTCTCTCTGCAACATAATATACTGTGAACAGTATTTTATTATATTTATTCGTTTTTGAGATAGGGTCTTGCTCTTGTCGCCCAGGCTGGGGTGTGGAGTGTAGTGGTGCAATCTCGCCTCACTGCAATCTCCACCTCCTGGGCTCAGGCAATCCTCCTACTTTAGCCTCCCAAGTAGCTGGGACTACAGGCGCATGCCACTGCACCCAGCTTATTTTTTTATTTGTTTTAGAGAGAGGGATTTGCCAAGTTGCCCAGGCTGGTGTAGAGCTCCTGACTTCATGCAACCCACCTGCCTCGGCCTCCGAAAGTGCTGGGACTACAGGTGTTAGCCACTGCACCTCACCTGGATTTTCAATCTTCTTAAAGGGTGTGTTGCATTCCACTGTATAGATACAGCTTAATTTTCTGACCTAACACTTACTGGTAGCCATTTAAGTTGCTGTTCTTTCCAACAACAAACATTCTTTTCACATATATGTTTGTATAAATCAATAATTACTTTTTAAACCAAAATTATACATCTACGTAATTTAAAACTTAAATATTCTATAAGCATATCATGAAAAGTTATGCTTTTCCTCTTCCCCATCCCTGACTCCCATTCTCCAGAGGCAACCCCTTGCTACATTTTTTTTTTTTACTGTGGTAACAATAAACATAAAATCTGCCATTTTAACCATTTGTAAGTGTATGGTTTAGTGGCATTAAGTAGAGTCACATTCTTGTGCAGCCATCACTGCCATCCATCTCCAGAACCTTCTCATCTGCACAAACTGAAACTGTACCCAGTACACAATAATTTCTCATTCTCCCCTCCCGCCAAACCCCTAGCAACTACTATTCTTCTTGTATTCTCTATGAATTTGACACTTATAGGAACCTCATATAAGTGGAATTTTATAAAATTTGTCCTTTGGTGACTGGCTTATTTCACTTAGCAAAAATCTTCAAGGTTCATCCATGCTGTAGTATGTGTCAGCATCTCTTTCCTTTATAAAGCTGAGTAGTATTCCACTGCATGTACCACACTTGATCTATCCACCTGCTGATGGACACTTCGGTTACTTGGTCTACCTTTTGGCTACTGTGGATAATACTGCTATAAACACAGGTGTACAAATACCTGTTTGAGTCCCTGCTATCAATTCTTTCAGGTATTTAGCCAGGACTTCCAACCCTTCTAAATGGTTTTCCCTCTAGTTATTTGCCTCCAAATTACAAAATGACATGTTTGTACAGTTTTCACCTTCAGATATTACTGAATTCCTATCATGCAAGATGAAGTCTTAATCCTCACACACCTCTCTTAAACATGCATATACCTCCCTTTCCTTCAATATTCAGTAAATTGGACTCAGCAAAAATTATCCACTAGAAGAATGAAAACATTCAAACACATTTGGTAATCCATCAATTTTCTATTTTTCTCTGGAGACATCCTTCCTGGATAGGACTGCCAGATAAACTATAAGATACCCAGTTAAACTTGAACTTCAGGTCATAACAAATATGGATCCTTTCATTCTCCTGACCCATCCTGGACTGGCTGCTCTCTGGGCCAGTCTAATTATTCTTCCAAGTGTATTTTATCACTTTAAATTTGTAATATTGATTTAGAGTTGACTGACATTTTCAGAGGTGGCACTCTCATTTATTTAACTATTGTTTTACTTCTGTAAGTCAAGATTTATAGTTTTTTTCATATAGAATCATAACTTTTATAGTAAGTTTATTCTTTATTTTTTTAATTGTATTTTAGGTTTTCGGGCACATGTGAAGAACATGTAAGATTGTTGCATAGGCACACACATGGCAGTGTGATTTGCTGCCTTTCTCCCCATCACCTATCTGGCATTTCTCCCCATGCTCTCTCTCCCCTAGTTCCCTCCAACAAACCCCAGTGTGTGATGCTCCCCTCCCTGCATCCATGTGTTCTCGTTGTTCAACAACCACCTATGAGTGAGAACATATGGTGTTTGATTTTCTGTTCTTGTGTCAGTTTGCTGAGAATGATGGTTTCTAGATTCATCCATGTCCCTACAAAGGACATGAACTCATAGTTTTTTATAGGGCTGCATAGTATTCCATGGTGTATAGTGCCACATTTTCCCTGTCCAGTCTATCATCAATGGGCATTTGGGTTGGTTCCAGGTCATTGCTATTATAAGCAGTGCTGCTATGAGCATTCCTGTGCATTTGTCCTTATAGTAGAATGATTTATAATCCTTTGGATATATACCCAGTAATGGGATTGCTGGGTCAAATGGAATTTCTTTTTCTAGGTCCTTGAGGAATCGCCACACTATCTTCCACAATGGTTGAACTAATTTACACTCCCACCAAAAGTGTAAAAGTGTTCCTATTTCTCCACATCCTCTCCAGCATCTGTTGTCTTCAGACTTTTTAATGATCGCCACTCTAATTGGCATGAACTGGTATCTCAATGTAGTTTTGATTTGCATTTCTCTAATGATCAGTGATGATGAGCATTTTTTCATATGTTTGTTGGCCTCATGTATGTCTACTTTTGTAAAGTGTCTGTTCATATCCTTCGCCCACTTTTGAATGGACTTTTTTCTTGTAAATCTGTTTTAGTTCTTTGTAATTCTGGGTATTAGCCCTTTGTCAGATGGGTAGATCACAAAAATTTTTTCCCATTCTGGTGATTGCCGATTCACTCTAATGACTGTTTCTTTTGCTGTGCAGAAGCTGTGAGTTTGATTAGGTCCCATTTGTCTATTTTGGCTTTTGTTGCCAATGCTTTTGGTGTTTTGGTCATCAAGTCCTTGCCTATGCCTGTGTTCTGAATGGTTTTGCCTAGATTTTCTTCTAGGGTTTTTATGGTGTTAGGTCTTATGTTTAAGTCAGTAATCCATCTGGAGTTAATTTTAGTGTAAAGTGTCAGGAAGGGGTCCGGTTTCTGCTTTCTGCACATGGCTAGCCAGTTTTCCCAACACCATTTATTAAACAGGGAATCTTTCCCCATTGCTTTTGTCATGTTTGTCAAAGATTAGATGGCTGTAGATGTGTGGTGTTGCCTCTGAGGCCTCTGTTTTGTTCCATTGGTTTATATCTCTGTTTTGGTAACAGTACCATGCTGTTTTGATTACTGTAGCCTTGTAGTATAGTTTGAAATCCGGTAGCGTGATGCCTCCAGCTTTGTTCTTTTTGCTTAGAATTTACTTGGCTATGCAAACTCTCTTTTGGTTCCATATGAAGTTTAAGGTGGTTTTTTCCAGTTCTGTGAAGAAGGTCATTGGTAGCTTGATGGGGATAGCGTTGAATCTGTAAATTACTTTGGGCAGTCTGGGCATTTTCACGATATTGATTCTCCTTAACCATGAGCATGGAATGTTTCTCCATCTGTTTGTATCCTCTCTTATTTCATTGAGAAGGGGCTTGCAGTTCTCCTTAAAGAAGTCCTTTACGTTCCTTGTTAGTTGTATTCCTAGGTATTTTATTCTCTTTGTAGTAATTGTCAGTGGCAGTTCATTCTTGATTTGGCTCTCTTTAAGTCTGTTGCTGGTGTATAGGAATGCTTGTCATTTTTGCACATTGATTTTGTATCCTGAGACTTTGCTGAAGTTGCTTATCAGTTTCAGGAGATTTTGGGCTGAGACAATGGGGTCTTCTAAATATACAGTCATATCATCTGCAAATATAGACAATTTGACTTCCTCCTTTCCTAATTGAATACCCTTTATTTCTTTTTCTTGCCTGATTGCTCTAGCTACAACTTCCAATACTATATTGAATAAGAGTGGTGAGAGAGGGCATCCTTGTCTAGTGCCAGATTTCAAAGGGAATGCTTCCAGTTTTTGTCCATTCCGTATAATATTGGCTGTTGGCTTGTCATAATAGCTTTTATTATTTTGAGAGATGTTCCATCAATACCTAGTTTATTGAGGGTTTTTAGCATAAAGGGCTGTTGAATTTTGTCAAGGGCCTTCTCTGCATCTATTGAGATAATCGCGTGGTTTTTGTTTTTGGTTCTGTTTATGTGGTGAATTACGTTTACAGACTTGCGTATGTTAGACCAGCCTTGCATCTCCGGGATGAAGCCTACTTGATCATGTTGGATAAGCTTTTTATCCAAGTGCTGTTGCAATTGGTTTGCCAGTATTTTATTGAAGACTTTTGCATCTATGTTCATCATGGATATTGGCCTCAAGTTTTCTTTTTTTGTTGAGTCTCTGCCGGGTTTTGGTATCAGGATGATGTTGGTCTCATAAAATGATTTGGAAAGGATTCCCTCTTTTTGGATTGTTTGGAATAGTTTCAGAAGGAATGGTACCAGCTCCTCTTTGTATGTCTGGTAGAGTTCGGCTGTGAACCTGTCTGGACCTGGGCTTTTTTTGGGTGGTAGGCTCTTAACTGCTGCCTCAACTTCAGCCCTTGTTATTGGTCTAGTCAAGGTATCAACTTCTTCCTGGTTTAGGCTTGGGAGGATGCAAGTGCCCAGGAATTTATCCATTTCTTCCAGGTTTTCTAGTTTATGTGCATAGAGTTGTTTGTGATAATCTCTGATGACGGTTTGTATTTCTGTGGAATCTGTGGTGATATCCCCTTTATCATTTTTTATTGCATCTATTTGATTATTCTCTCTTTTCTTATTAATCTGGCTAGTGGTCTATTTTGTTGATCTTTTCGAAAAACCAGCTCCTGGATTTATTTTTTGAAGGGTTTTTTGTGTCTCTGTCTCCTTCAGTTCTGCTCTCATCTTAGTTCTATTTCTTGTCTTCTGCTAGCTTTTAAGTTTTTTTGATCTTGCTCCTGTAGCTCTTTCAATTTTGACGATAGGGTGTCGATTTTAGATCTTTCCTTGCTTCTCATGTGGGCATTTATTGCTATATATTTTCCTCTAGACATCGCTTTAAATGTGTCCCAGAGATTCTGGTATGTTGTGTCTTCATCCTTGTTGTTTTCGAAGAACCTCTTTATTTCTGCCTTCATTTCATTGTTTATCCAGTCAACATTCAAGAGCCAGTTGTTCAGCTTCCATGAAGCTGTGCAGTTCTGAGTAGTTTCTGAATTCTGAGTTCTAACTTGATTGCACTGTGGTCTGAGAGACTGTTTGTTATGATTACCATTTTTTTTGCATTTGCTGAGGAGTGATTTACTTCCAATTATCTGGTCAATTTTAGAGTAGGTGTGATGTGGTGCTGAGAAGAATGTATATTCTGTGGATTTGGGGTGGGGAGTTCTGTAAATGTCTATTAGGTTTGCTTGGTCCAGGTCTGAGTTCAAGTCCTGATATCCTTGTTAATTTTTTGTCTCGTTGATCTGTCTAATATTGGCAATGGGGTGTTAAAGTCTCCCACTATTATTGTGTGGGAGTCTAAGTCTCTTTGTAAGTCATTAAGAACTTGCTCTATGTATCTGGGTGCTCCTGTATTGGGTGCGTATATATTTAGGATCGTTAGCCCTTCTTGTTGAATCAATCCTTTTACCATTATGTAATGACCTTCTTTGTCTCTTCTGATCTTTGTTGGTTTAAAATCTATTTGCGGTGGCTCAAGCCTGTAATCCCAGCACTTTGGGAGGCCGAGGCGGGTGGATCACGAGGTCAAGAGATCGAGACCATCCTGGTCAACATGGTGAAACCCCGTCTCTACTAAAAATACAAAAAATTAGCTGGGCATGGTGGCGCGTGCCTGTAATCCCAGCGACTCAGGAGGCTGGGGCAGGAGAATTGCCTGAAACCGGGAGGCGGAGGTTGCGGTGAGCCGAGATCGCGCCATTGCACTCCAGCCTGGGTAACAAGAGCGAAACTCCGTCTCAAAAAATAAAAATAAATAAAAAAAAATAAAATCTATTTGATATTATCAGAGACGAGAATTACAACTCCTGCTTTTTTCTGCTCTCCATTTGCTTGGTAAATCTCCCTCCGTCCCTTTATTTTGAGCCTTTGTGTATCCTTGCATGTGAGATGGGTTTCCTGGATACAGCACACCGATGGGTTTTGGCTTTTTATCCAATTTGCCAGTCTGTGTCTTTTCATTGGGGCCTTTAGCCCATTTACATTTAGGGTTAATATTGTTATGTGTGAATTTGATCCTGCCATTTTGATGCCAGTTGGCTATTTTGGCCATTAGTTGATGCAGTTTCTTCATTTTGTCGATGCTCTTTACCATTTGGTATGTTATCGGAGTGGCTGGTACTGGTTGTTACTTTCTATGTTTAGTGCTTCTATCAGGCGCTCTTGTAAAGCGGGCCTGGTGGTGGTGAAATCTCTCAGTAATTGCTCGTTCATAAAGGATTTTATTTCTCCTTCACTTATGAAGCTTAGTTTGGCTGGATATGAAATTCTGGGTTGAATGTTCTTTTCCTTAAGGATGTTGAATATTGGCCCTCACTCTCTTCTGGCTTGTAGGGTTTCTGCTGAGAGATCTGCTGTGAGTCTCATGGGCTTCCCTTTGTGGGTAACCCCACCTTTCTCTCTGACTGCCCTTAGCATTTACTCCTTCATTTCAACCCTGGTGAATCTGACAGTTATGTGCCTTGGGGCTGCTCTTCTTGAGGAATATCTTTGTGGTGTTCTCTGTATTTCCTGGACTTGAATGTTGGCCTACCTCACTAGGTTGGGGAAGTTCTCCTGGATAATATCCTGAAGAGTGTTTTCCACCTGGAAAACACTTTCCCCCCATCATATTCAGGTACACCAATCAAATGTAGATTAGGTCTTTTCACATAATCCCATATTCCTTGGAGGCTTTGTTCATTTCTTTTCACTCTTTTTTCTCTAATATTGCCTTCTGATTTTATTTCATTGAGTTGATCTTCAATCTCTGATATCCTTTCTTCTGCTTCGTTGATTCGGCTATTGAAACTTGTATATGCTTTGCAAAGTTCTTGTGTTGTGTTTTTCAGCTCCATCAAGTTATTTATGTTCTTCTCTAAGCTGGTTATTCTAGTTAGCATTTTGTCAAATCTTTTTTCAGTGTTCTTAGTTTTTTTGCATTGGGTTAGAACATGTTCTTTTAGCTCAGAGAAGTTTCTTGTTACCCACCTTCTGAAGCCTATTTCTGTCAATTCATCATACTCATTCTCCATCCAGACTTGTTCCCTTGCTGGTGAGGAGATGTGATCCCTTGTAGGAGGAGAGGCATTCTTGTTTTTGGTGTTTTCATCCTTTTTGCACTGGTTTCTTCCCATCCTTGTGGATTTATCCACCTGTCTTTGTAGTTGTCAACTTTCTGATTGGATCTCTGAGTGGATGTCCAGTTTGTTGATAATGAAGTTATTTCTTTCTGTTTCTTAGTTTACCTTCTAACAGTCAGGTGCCTCTGCTGTAGGACTGCTGAGGTCCACTCCAGGCCCTCCTTGCCTGGGGATCACCTGCTGCGGCTGCTGAACAGTAAGTGTTGCTGCCAGTTTCTTCTGCTATCTTTGTCCCAGAAGGATACCCGCCAGACATCAGTCTGAGCTCTCCTTTATGAGTTGACTCTTTGGATATACTGGGGTCAGGGAGCAGCTTGAGGAGACACTCTGTCCTTTATAGGAGCTCAAGTGCTGAGCTGTGAGCTCCGTTGTTCATTTAGAGCTGCTGGGCTGGTATGTTTAAGTCTACAGCAGAACTCATCAACGCCTTTTTTTTTTTTTTCCCCCAGGTGCTCTGTCCCGGGGAGTCAGGGCTTTATTTATAAGCTTCTGTCATGCTGCTGCCTTTTTTCAGGGCTGCTCTGTCCAGTGAGGAGGCAGCCTAGTCACAGTCTGCCTGCAGAGGCTTTGCTGAGCTGCTGTGGGGTGCACGCAGCTGCCGTGTGAACTTCCCTGCTGTCCTGTTTATATGGGTATAGTTAGAACTGCCTCGGCAATGGCGGCTCACCTCTGTAATGGCAGACTGTCTCTGTAATGGCAGGCTGCCTCAGCAATGGTGGACTACCTCTGTAGTGGTGGACTGCCTTGGTAATGGCAAACGCCCCTCCCACACAGAGCTGGACCATCCTGGGTTCAGCTGTGCTTGCTGTGAAACTCTCAATCCAGAGCGTTTCAGATTGCTGTTTTTTTGTGGGGGTGGGACCAGCCAAGCCTGATCACCTGGCTCCCTGCCTCAGACCCCTTTTTATTTTTATTTTTTTCAGTTGAACGGGCAACTCTTGTCTCCCAGGTGTTCCAGTCACCTGTTGAAAAGGTGCCAGGATCTGTGTGATTTCCCATGCGGCGACCCACTGCACTGGCTGAAACAGCCGTGCAGAGATTCGTGGCACTTTTTTGCCTGGGACTCTCCTGGCCTGGCTCCCTGTTTCAGTCCCTTTTTTATCAGTTGAAAGGGCGACTCTGCCTCCCAGGAGCTCCAATCGCCAGCAAAAATGGCGCCCAGACCCGTGTATTTTGTGCAGAGACACGCTGTGCTGGCGAAAACAGCCGCGCTGGCGACCCATGGGGCTCCTCCGCCTGGGAATCTCCTGGTCTGTGGGCAATAAAAATCCTGTGGTGGCTCACACCTGTAATCCCAGGACTTAGGAATCTGAGGTGGGCTGATCACCTGAGGTCAGGAGTTCAAGATCAGCCTGACCAATATGGTGAAACCCCATCTTTAAATTAAAAAAAAAAAAAAAAAAAAAAAAATCCGTCTGGAAATGTGTCCACTCACCCTCCGCGCTTTCGCTGGAAGCTGCAATCCTGAGCCGCTCCTAATTGGCCATATTAGTAAGTTTATTCTTAGTTTTGGTTATCATGCATGAGATTTATATATGTATAAACTTTCATACATATTTAAGATCAGATATGACTTTTGATACTAAATCAATTTAAATGTGATTACTATAACACTTTAAAAACAACATATTTTTCTACTATATCTGAACACATTTAGAATTACACACACTATTCTAACCATGGATATTACACCAGCATTTGAATATTTTGTAAATGTATACCTCTTTCCATTCTCCAAACACAGCCCTATTATAAGTTATTAAATCATCAGTTGGCCTCCATTCCTTCACCTAATTTCCTCTCAATTTAAGTTAGACACTAACAGAACCACGTTCTTGAATAATTACTTTAAAACACTCTTTCTTAAACACTGAGAATAGCTCTTAATTAAAAAATTAAAATACCTAATTAGATTTTATGAACTTTTATGAAAGGGCATTTACCGAACCATCTCCTTGCCCCATTTCACTATCATCCCTCTCTCCACCCCAGCTTCCCTAGCTTGACTCACCTTACATTTCTTCTCTTGTTCTAATTACTTAAATATGTATTCATCTCTGGGTAGCTGAAATTAACTAGATCTGAAAGTCTACTGTTTATTCTCCGTATTTTTTATTTTTTTTAAGTATACTAAAGCAACCTGATAAACTGTTTCCTTAATCAGAATACAATATTATAAATTTCTCTCTAGGACTTTAGAAGCCTGAAAACCTGAGAAACCTCCAAAGACTCTGCTCATTATATTTCTTCTAGGTATGTATGGGTTTTCAGATATTTGTAGGGTGAGAATAGATTCATTTGCTTCTCGAAGCAGGTAGTAATCAAGAATTTACATGACAGTTTCTGCTCTTACCTCTATTGCTCGAATTACTTTAGAAAGTTCTTTAATAAGGTGTCCAGGTCTAACGTTGTCTGGAATTTCAAAGGCATGTTCAGATACGAGCTGTATTTGGATTAACAAAAATAAGAAAACCAAAGTTACTCATACTTTAATATGTAAAAACAAATTTACTAAACCAATTTTTAGATTCTCTTGACTTTATAGACATCATTTTCAAACACTAGTAAGCCAGGGTTCAGAGTTTATGTAGCTGGTGTAATGCCTTCTAAACTTTATAGACATCATTTTCAAACACTAGTAAGCCAGGGTTCAGAGTTTATGTAGCTGGTGTAATGCCTTCTAAGGAGATTCTCATTAATATATAAAATCCTCTTAGATTGTGTTAAAAACAGACTTGTCTCACAGTGAATTGTGCTTTATATTGAGTAGTAACCTTGTACTCTACTCCTCAAAGCCTACTGTAATTCTAACTACTACTACTTATTGGTAAAGTAACAAATTAAGCTTAACATTTAATTCATAATGCATAATGCATAAGGATTTTTAAGGAGAACACAGGCATTAACATAATCCTAGTTTCTCTTACAAAATTTAATTTGAATAAATCTTTGTAGTTTTCTTTTTTCTTTTAATAGTCAAACGTAAAAGAGATAAAAGAGCCCATCAACAGGAAAGGGGAAGGCTGGGCACGGTGACTCATGCCTATAATCCCAGCCCTTTGGAGGCTGATGTGGGTGAATCACCTGAGGTCAGGAGTTGGAGACCAGCCTGCTGGCCAGTAGTAGAGATGGTGAAACCTGTCTCTACTAAAAATATAAAAATTAGTCGGGCATAGTGGTACACACCTATAATCCCAGCTACTGGTGAGGCTGAGACAGGAGAATTGTTTGAACCCAGGAGGCAGAGGCTGCAGTGAGCCAAGATCTCGCTATTGCACTCCACCCTGGGTGACAGAGCAATACTCCATCTCAAAAAAAAAAAAAAAAAAAAAAAACGGAAAGTGGAATTAATTGGTGGGTTACCATATCTACTGAATTGCAAACTAATGCCATTATTATGTCTATTTTCTAATTTTAATCTCTAGATCTAAGAATAATTTGGTTTTTTTAGACACTCTCAACATGCTAGTTTCTGCTTCTGCTTTATATCTTCTATTTGGTTTTAGCATCATTTATTAAAACAAACTAAAACAAAAGTAATATAATCTTCTAATGCTGTGCTCTGTTACTATTAAGTACATTACAAGCATTAAGTCATTTAAACCTTTAATTACCACTATGACATGGATACTACTATTATTCCCATTTTACAATCGACAGAACTAAGGCACAGAAGTCAGGTGATTTGCCCAAAGTCATGAAGCTAGTTTATTAGTAGCAAAGCTGAGCTTTGATTCCAAACATCTACTCCAGAATCCATGCTCTTAATCACTATGCTGAGCTGATTCGCATCTTAAAACAAATTTAATAAGATAGGTAATGTAAATATATTTGTTAAAATGTACTGCGCATGTATTAACAGAATTTATTATTGATAACTAATTTTACTATGCATCAAAATCACCTAAGAAGTTTGTTAAAAATAGAGGTTCAGATCCTAACCCCAAATCTATTAAATAGAATCCTTAGAGGAAGATCCAGGGGTTTTATTTTTATAAAAAGCTCTAGGCTGGGCGCGGTGGGTCATGCCTGTAATCTTAGCACTTTGGGAGGCCGAGGTGGGTGGATCACCTGAGGACAGGAGTTCAAGACCAACCTGGCCAACATGGAGAAACCCCGTCTCTACTAAAAATAACAAATATCAGCCAGGCATGCTGGTGCACACCTGTAATCCCAATTACTCAGGAGACTGAGGTAGGAGAAACGCTTGAAGCTGCAAGGCAGAGGTTGCAGTGAACTGAGATTCAGCTACACGCCAGCCTGGGCAATACAGCAAGATTCTGTCTCAAAAAAAAAAAACAAAAAAAGCTCTAAAGGCAATTCTGATAAAGTCACGAATTTGAGAACCACATGTCTAAAGCCTTCAGTAGGAAATTATACAGCTTTGGCAACATATGCTTTATTTTGTTATTACCTTGTTGAACAGTTTTAAATTTGCTTATGGCTTTCGTTGTCACCTAGACAATAAGGTCTTTCACAGTGGAGGACATATTTTTATTTTCCTGACTGCTTCCATAGTGTTGTGCTCTAGCAGATATGTAGCAATGATAATAAAGTGAAGACAGAGTATAAAATCATTGGTACGGTAACCTATTAATTACTGTCTCCCAGTATTTCTTAAAAGCAAGGTTTTGTTTTTTTTCTTGAGATGGAGTCTCGCTCTGTTGCCCAGTCTAGAGTGCAGTAGTGCAATCTCGGCTCACTGCAACCTCTGCCTCCCAGATTCAAGTGATTCTCCTGCCTAAGCCTCCTGGGTAGCTGGGTCTACAGGCGTGGGCCACCACGCCTGGCTAATTTTTTGTATTTTTAGTAAAGATGGGGTTTCACTATATTGGCCAGGCTGGTCTTAAACTACTGACCTCATGATCCGCCTGCCTTGGCCTCTAAAAGTGCTGGAATTACAGGCGTGAGCCACCATGCCTGACCTAAAAGCAAGATTTTTATGTCAAGGGACATTCAATAAATTAATATGGATGCAGCCAGGTACAGTAGCTCATGACTGAAATCCCAGCACTTTGGGAGGCCAACTTGGGTGGATCACCTGAGATCAGGAGCTCACGACCAGCCTGGCCATCATGGCAAAACCTCATCTCTATCAAAAAATACAAAAATTAGCTGGGCGTGGTGCCGTGCACGTATACAGCTACTTGCGAGGCTAAGGCAGAAGAACTGATTGAACCTGGGAGGTGGAAGTTGCAGTGAGCCAAGATCACACCACTGCAGTCCAGACTGAGCAACAGATCAAGACTCTAAAAAAAAATAGAAGAAATTAATATGGACATGTATTTTCATCAGCTCACATATATATGTATCACTTATTAAAGCATTATGTGCAAAAGTCCATGGAGTTATAATAAAGATGAGAAAGACAGTCCCTGTTCAAGAGCTCACAGACCCAGCTGAAGGAAACACAGATATATTACCTTATAAACATCTGTTTTAAGCCCAGAGGCATTAGAAATACAGCATGGAAGCATAAGGGAAGGAAACACTAACTCCAAATGGAAATCTGGAGGTGGTGGGATTCAAATGCAAACAACTAGCTCATATTTTAGTGAAAATAGAAAGCTCGTGCTTGAAATTTGGACTCTCCTTTCCTTAGTTTTTAAATAAATCCAGCAGAGTGGTAAGGAGCATAGGCTTTAAAATCCCACAGATCTAAGTTTTAAGTCCTAGCTTTACCAGTTCTCTTGGGCAAGTTATTTAACTCTTTGAACCTCAGCTTTCCCTTATGTAAAATGGTGGTACCAATAGCACCCAGACCTCAAACAGTTGGCTTTGCGGACTAAGTGAGATCATGTGTATATAGACTAAGCACAGTGCTCTCAGCACATTATAAGGCTTCAATGTTATTTTTTATTATTCTATATCTACGTTCATTTCTTAGTCAATTTCCTAAATATACTTGAATTACTTTCTTTTCCAGATCAAAGATTAAAGAAATACCTAAATACTATATTCTCAGAAACCAGTACATTTGTATATACTGCATAATAAAATGCAGGTTTATATACAGCATGATTTCTTTTTGAAAACTGAGTCTTGCTCTGTCACCCAGGCTGAAGTGCAATGGCATGATCTTAGCTCACTGCAACTTCCACCTCCCGGGTTAAAACAATTCTCCTGCCTCAGCCTCCCGAGTAGCTGGGATGACAGGCACCTGCCAGTATGCCTGGTTAATGTTTATGTTTTTAGTAGAGGTAGGGTTTTACCATGTTAGTCAGGCTGGTTCCAAACTCCTGACCTCAGGTGATCCACCTGCCTCGGCCTCCCAAAGTACTAGGATTAAAGGCGTGAGCCACCGCCTGGCCATAAAGCATGATTTCTATTCCCTGTACTACTGGCACTCACAAGTGCTGCCAAAATAGCCCAAGGACTCTGTTTTCCTAACCTTGCCACATAAAACACAGTGATTTCACTATTACAACAACTTACTTCTTTTTTCATCCATAATTTTAAAGCAGTATGCAGTGCTTTCACTCCCTGTACTAGGTAAGTTTGAGGCTGGAAACCATCTTCTCTCAGTTCTGTAGGAATGGAAATGGGGGTGGGAAAAAAAAAAACGTTAAAATGTTCTAAAGTTAAAGGGATTGACTTCAGATTTTGAGTAACCACCAAATATAAAACTACAAAACTTCCAAATTAATAAAAAGATTAAAAAGTGAAATATGAAATGATCAATTCAAAAAGACAAAAGAAAGAGAATTACATTAAATGTAATTTATTAAATACTCCAGTTAAAAGAAAGTCCATTTCATTGGATTTAATTTTTTGTGTAGAGATGGGGTCTCAGTATGTTGCCCAGGCTGGTCTCAAACTCCTGGCTTCAAGCAGTCCTCCAGCCTTGGCCTCCCAAAGAGCTAGAATTACAGGCGTGAGCCACTGTATCTGGCCAGATTTTAAAATAAGCTAAATATTCATACATACCATATTTTAAAAAATAGGAAAGTTTCAAATAAAAAGATGGGAAAAAGATACCAAGCTTCCAAAAGAAAGGTGGTGTAACTGTCATTAATATAAAGGGTTATTTCATAATGACCAAGGATTCAGTTCACCAGAAAGACATATATAACCATTTAGAATTTGTGCTCAATAACACAGTATGAAAATATAGAAAGCAGTAACTAGACAGAACTACATGGAGAAATAAACAACTCCACAATCACAGTGGAAGATTTTCAAATATTTCTCTTGGTAAGAGATAGAGGAAATGAACTAAAAAAAAATCAGTAGACATATATTCAATTTGAACAATATAAAACTTGATTAAATGGCCATAAATAGAATATTGTACCCAGCAACTGCAGAATACACATTCTTTTCAAACACACACAGAACACTTAGAAAATTCATCCATTTTCCAGAACCATAAACAAGTCTCATCAAAGTCCAAGACCTAAATCATATATATGTTCATAATGCAGGTAAGCTAAAGAAAGCCTATATGTTTAGAAATTAAGAATGCAGACATTAAGAAATAGACTGCTAACATATGGGTCAAAGAAAAACATTGGAAATCAGATAATATGTTGGTTAAACAATAATAAAAACATATCAAAATGTGTTATATACTATACATGCAGAGAAATGTATAGCTTTAAATACTTATGTTAGACAAGAAGGCTAAAAATTAATGAGCTGAAGACCCACATAAAAGTTTTAATACCAAAAAAACCTGATAAAAATAATAATCATAAATTAACAAAACAGTAAACAGAGCCTCAAACAGGGTCTTAAAAAAAGTAACAAAATTAATATAAAGAGAAAATAAGAACAAATATCCAGGTATGGTGAATAGAAATAATGTCATTACAAATGCCACAGATATTCAGTAGGTAAGAAGGTAACGTGAAGAACTTTATTACTTTTGCACCAATCCAGTAATAAAAATAAAAGAAAAAATAATTTTTGAAAAAGAACTTTATGCCAACAAATGTCAAATTTTAGATGTAATTTCTAGATACATTTTAAGAAAATATTTATACAAATGAACTCAATAATTAGCCAGTAAAGCTTTCTAGTCCTTTAATCACTAAAGACACTGACTTAGCAGTCAAAAATCTTCCCACAAAGAAAACCATAGATCCAGATCATCAGTGAGTTCTACTGTCATTCAAGAAAGAAATCATTCCAATGGTACACACACTTCTCTGGAGATCAGAAACAGAAAGAACAATCTCAACATTTTGTCTGAGGCTAGCATAACTTTCATATCAAAATCTAACAAGGACAGCACTGAAAAACAAATTTCACTCATGTGCCAAAATGCACACAGTCTATGTAATATGTAAATATATAGAATATATAAAATATAAACATATAGAATATAAACAATATACTTAACCTAGTGGTATATAAAAATTATAAATTGGGTTAATATTAGAAAATCAATTAATATAACTGCTAAATTAAAAGGTTAAAGAAGAAATGACTTTTCATATATGCAGGCAAAGCTTTTCATAAAATTAAACTACATTTTTAAAAAGAAAGGAAAAAAACAGCCCTAACTTAGAATAGACAAGGACTTCCTAAACCTGATAAAGGTTATCAACAAAAAGCCTACAACAAAGGTAATAATGGCAAAAGATTGAAAGCTTTCCTTCTGAGACTTGAAACAAAGATACAGCTGCCCACCTTTGCCATTTCTATTCACTATTTCCCTGGACGTCCTAGACAACTTGGTAAAGCAATGAAAAAAAAAAGATTAAAATATTAGAAAAGAAGGAACAACTCATTATTTGCTGAGGCTGTATATGACTGTGTATTAGAGAATCCAAAAAAAGCCTCAGATGATTAAATAATATTTTTTGTTTGTTTTATTTTTAAGATGGAGTCTCGCTCTGTTGCCCAGGTTGGAGTGTAGTCGTGCTATTTTGGCTCACTGCAACCTCTGCCTCCAGGGTTCAAGCAACTCCCCTGCCTCAGCCTCCTGAGTAGCTGGAATTACAGGCATGCACCACCATGTCTGGCTAATTTTTCTGTATTTTTTTTTTAGTAGAGGTGGGGTTTCACCATATTGGCCAGGCTGGTCTCTTACTCTTGACCTTGTGATCCGCCTGCCTTAGCTTCCCAAAGTGCTGGGATTACAGGCATAAGCCACTGTGCCCGGTCAAATAATCATTTTTAAGAAGGTTGCTAAAATAAGTATAAAAATTAACTGCTTCTGTATTCCAGAATCACATGGTAAGTTGAAACATATGAAATTGCTAATATTTGACTATTTTTGAAGTACAAAAACAAATTTCATGTGAGTTCAACCATATATATATAAATACTTAGGAATGATTTATATGGTTTGGATCTGTGTCCCCACACAAATCTCATGTTCAGTTTTAATCCCCAATTATTGGAAGTGGGGCCTGGTGGGAGGTGGTTTGATCATGAAGCTGGATCCTTCACGAATGGTTTTGCACCATCCTCTTGGTGCTGTTCTCATGACAAGTAAGTTCTTATGAGGTCTGGTTGTTTTAAAGTGTGTAGCATCTCTCCCTTCACCCTAACTTGCTCCTGCTCCCCCTTTGCCTTCCACCATGGTTATGTCTCCTGAGGGCTCCCCAGAAGCTGAGCAGATGCTAGCATCATGCTTCCTGTAGAGCCTGAGGAACCCTGAGCCAATTGAACCTCTTTTTTTAATAAATTACCCAGTCTCAGATATTTCTTTATAGCAATGCAAGAACAGACTAATATGTTTTTATAATAGCACTAAAAAGTAGATGGAGTAAATCTAGCAAGAGATACATATGTAAAATTTTTACCAAAAAAGAAATGCCAAAAGACATTAAAGATCTAAATAGAGATGTTCCATGTCATTTTTATAAAATTCAGTATTTATTGACATCAAATTTTGCCCAAATTGATTTCTAGAGTTAACATGTCCAAAGTAAAAATCTCCACAATACTTGTTTGCTTGCTTTTGGAAGAGTGGTGTCAGCTTGTAATGAGGTAACTCAAAAATTTATATAAAAATGAAAGGGAAAAGAAAAGCCAAGACATACTTGAAGGAGGAGGACCTACCAGATATCAATTCTTATCAAAAGGTTAATAAGATAGTGTGCTTGGTGGAGAGACAGACTGCTAGCCCACTGGAACAGGAGGGTGGGTGAGTATGTGTGTATATACCGCAGGACCTGCACAGATGTCAACACAAGATAAAGGAGAGTTGTGGTGTTTATGAAGAACAGAAAAAGAATGGATTACTCAAAATATGGTGCCGGGACAAGAGGATATGTATATAAAAGCAAGTGAAAATACACTCCCACCACCCACACACACACTCACACACACAAACAACAGTAAAAGCTTTTAGAAAACAAGGATATCTGCAAGACCCTGGGATAAGAAAAGAACCCCTTAAATAAGGCACAGAAAGCACTAACCATAAACGCTGAAAAAAAAAAAAAACTGTTAAAGAAATTTTGTCTTTCAGTAAAGAGAAAATCCAAAAAAACCTATACACGTATGAAAAAAATACCCCATTCCACTAATAATAAGGGAAATGCACATTAAAAGCACAAAGAATACTACTTCATATGCATAAGGTTTGCAAAAATTATAACCTAACAATATCAAGTACTGGCCAGAGCACAAAGCTTTGTGAACTCTCATGCCCTGCCATGGAAATGAAAATTGGAAACAATTTGGCAACAACTACTAAATTCTGTCTATGACCTGGCAATTGGGCCTGTTTTCTGGAGTAATTCTTGCACTAGGTGACAAAGACGAGAACTTCTTAGCAACATTTTCCATAATTGCCAAAACCCAAAAATAACTCCAGAATGTCGAACTGCAGAATCTGTGTCTGTGTGTGTGTGTGTGTGTGTGTGTATCTATTCACAGTATATTCATACAACAGAATAGCAATGAAAACTACAGCCACACACAAAAACATGAATGAATCTCACAAACAATGCTGAGCAAAAGGTTACAAGAGAATACCAGTAATTTATTCATATGAAGTGTGCAAATGGAGAAAATTATTTTAGTTTATAACACAGGTGATAAAACTGAAGAAAAGGATTATAACAAAAGTCAGGATAATGATTATGTCTAGAAAGGACGCAGAAAGGTGTAATAAGAAAGATAACAGAGCATTTCTAAGGTGTTGGCAAGGCTGTTTTTGCTTAATTTGGGTACTTTTTACCTAAGTAATAACAGCTTTATTCTTAAAACAGTGTGTGTGTGTGTGCGTGTGTATGAAGTGCATGTGTGTGAGCTATATAAGCAACTATTTTAATAACATAGTTTATGATGGTAAAGTATATATAAACACAAATGCCTTGAGTTTTTTAATCAAATTGTGATAATCTAAAACCAAAAAAAAAAATCTATTAGATGTGGTCCAAAACTCAGCTAGGTTGAAACAAAGGATTTCGATTCTGCACAGTGGCGAATTTCCTTACACAAATCCAAACTGGTTCATTGTTTTACTATTACTGACATCAAACACAGTAAAGAGTTTCAGGTGATTCAACCTCATTTAACCCACGATATAAGCCTTAGAACAATCTGAGAGTTGGCAAACAATAGACCTCAATGTAAAGTAAAAAGGTTAGGGATGACAGAACAACATAATTTGGGGTCACAAGACCACCATTCCTGTTTCAAGGATGAATGCTTAAAACAATGCCAATTGCTATAATAATCATTTGGGTTTTGCCTTGATGAGACTGGATTGAATCACTGATTGCCAGGTATTCTATACTAATCTGGATAATGAAATGAAACATAACAACCTACAAATACCCTTTTCTAATAATCCTTTAAAAAAAAGTCTTTAATGTATAGAGTAAAGCCTTCCATCAGACCTCAATGTTTCTGAACTTTCGACAGCCTAACACAAAGACTAAACAGTTCTAAGATGAAGTATTGCTCCTGTGGCTTCATGAGCAATGTCAAGATTTTGTCTTTCAGATAAAACTCTTAATTTGTTTTAAAAAGTTTTAAATTAGTTTTAAAAAGTTAAAGGATGAGCCTCTCTTAGACATTAGTGGAAAAAAAGATCACTGTGCATAACCCCAGGGGTACAGGCGCGCGCGCGTTTGTGTGTGTGTCAGGAACTTGGAGTCTTGGGACAGAAAGAAAAGGGGAGAAAGCACCCTGAACCAAGTATAGAAAGTTAAAGGATGAGCCTCTCTTAGACATTAGTGGAAAAAAAGATCACTGTGGATAACCCCAGGGGTACAGGCGTGCGTGTGCGTGTGCGTGTGCGCGCGCGTGTGTGTGTGTGTGTGTGTGTGTCAGGAACTTGGGAGTCTTGGGACAGAAAGAAAAGAGGGGAGAAAGCACCCTGAACCAAGTATAAAATTGCCAGCCTCTTAACCAGAAGGTTCAATAGTTGGGATTTATTTAAGTGTTCATGTCTGTCTAGGCTTGCACTTAAATAGGAGACTATAAACTCTATTGTCCAGTATTTTAATGAAAACTATGTATGGCAACTCTGCAGTCCACTGTAACATTCTTACAGCCAAGAAAAATATCTGGGATCACTGAATGTGTCAGGGATTCTTGATGAGGATTCATTTCTGGAGCAGAGACTGGTCTTGTAAAGAAAGGACCTGTCCCTTCCCACGCATGGGCTTCTACCTCCATCCCATACACCAGAAGCACTGCCAGGACATCTCTGCACTGTGCTGTGAGGTGGGGGGTTTAGGGTACATTGTTATATGAGTTTTATCATTTTAGTTCTGTACATCCTATCTTGGGAAGTAAAGTTTTGGTTATTTCTTTTCATTTTACCTTTTCTTCTTGTTTAACTTTAAAATGGAAAAAGAAGCAAATGTTCGGAATGAACTTTACTGTCTAATCTGTTTATGTCTATTCTGAGAATTGCAAATTATAATAGTAGCACTATTTGCAAACTGACTAAAAAAGCAGACAAACTATTCTCACTAGCACATGAGCATGAGAAGCAGACAATAGAAGCAAGTGACATCAGTCTCCAACTTGACTGTTCAAAGATTAAATTGAAATATTAAAACATCAAAATTCTATCTTTTAAAAATGTAGTTTTTAAGTTCAAATATAAAGACGTGTTCAAAAAAGGTTTTTTTCTTCAACTACAGAATCATTTCAGTTGGTCTGTATGCTAATGGATGACTTAAATACTAGCCAGCATAGTGTTCATAATGGTGATAGCACAGACATTACCTGATTCTCTCAGGACGTGAAAATTATTCCCTCTGGTTTGCTTGTTTTTCTTTTTTGTGTTTTTGAGACAGAGTCTTGCTCTGTCGTCCAGGCTAGAGTGCAATGGCATGACCTTGGCTGCAACCTCTGCCTCTCGGGTTCAAGTGATTCTCCCTACCTCAGCCTCCCAAGCAGCTGGGATTACAGGCACACATGCCTGGCTACTTTTTTGTTTTTGTTTTTGTTTTTTTGAGACAGAGTCTCACTCAGTCACCAGGCACCAGGCTGGAGTGCAGTGGCACAACCTGGGCTCACTGCAACCTCTGCCTCCCGGGTTCAAGCAATTCTCCTGCCTCAGCCTCCCAAGTAGCTGGGACTACGGGCACACGCCACCACACCCAGCTAATTTTTTTGTATTTTTAGTAGAGACGGGGTTTCATCATGTTGGCCAGGTTGGTCTCGAACTCCTGATCTCAGGTGATCTGGCTGCCTCAGCCTCCCAAAGTGCTGGGATTATTGGCGTGAGCCAGCGTGCCCAGCCTAGTTTGCTTTTTTAAAAGCAAATTTTAGGAACGTGTATTAGGTAAGTCTCTTGACATAAACTGCGTTTTTAAGAGTCAGGCACTGTCACATGCTTGATAATGTCTGCTGGCTTCTAGAGTACTAGATGGAATGAACATTTCTAATGTTACTTACGTTGTTCTGATCCAAGCATTTTATAACTAATTTTAAGAACATGGATTGTCAGGTTATAGACTAGAGACTCTAACTTGCTGAAAAGGTTCCTGAATGGGGGAAACCATGTATTTAAAAAACAAAATAGGAGAGACATCCATACTCTACTATAAAAGGGACACTTTCTGTCAGGTGGCTATGAGTGAATTTACAAACAATATGCATCATATCATATAAAAATATGCAAATTGTTACTTACCTTTCAGGGTTTCCAGCAAGTTTTTGGCTACGAACCAACATATGGCTTCAAAGAAAGGGAATTTGAAAAGATCTGGTGTTTTTAGCCTTTTCTCCATCTCATAACACCTAAATGAATTTGAAGAAATATTTAATATTAGCATTTCAAAGTTAAATGAAAGTAACCAACCTGAAAATAAAATAAGCAGGTCATGATATATAAGACCAGTGAAGTGTTTTACATTTCTTAGCAACATCACATTTGGACAAGACTGAATTGTGATCTTATCCAGGTTCTAACTATCATTTGACGGTATACTAAAAAATTGTATTGAACTTCACAGAAGATCAAGATCATACCTTGGGATTTGTATCCTAGTTTTAACAAAAGAGATTTTTACAAAGGTTCTACTATAATAAATAAAAGTATGTGTCTTAGAAAACAGCTCCATGTGTAAGACAACAGTGCAATACTCACCCAAAAGTTTTCTTTAGGCTCAACTAAGCATTCCAGCTCAAGACCACATTTGGCACAAATAGCAGGAGCCATCCCTCCCTCAGGGACAGCTCAGATACAAAGAGACAAGATCCACACTTGGTAGGTGTGGGGGCTGCTTAAAGGCTTATGCCCTGTAAGAGCCACCATCTCCTGTGATAACTCCACGCAAAGATGCATAGCTTCTAGGGATCTCTATGAGTATGCCAAGTTACAAGAGTTACCACATTCAGGCAAATCCAAAGATATCACTTCTTACTAGGTATTAGGTATTTCTAGTTCTCCCAGTCCTGATGCAGTTTATCAATCAAGAATCATTTTTACCATAAGCATTGTTACCTAGTAAAAGTCTACACTCATTAGACTACCAAGGGAAGTGAGTTATACAAAGATCAAATTCTCACAAAGAGAGGAAAGAGCTATTAATCCTTTACCTGCAGCAAAATTAAAGCAGGTGTTTTGATAGCAGTCCTGACTTAGGGTTGCTTTTATTTTTTTTTAGCACCATATGTCACATCTGAGTCTGACCAGATTATGTTCATTTCCCTCACTGCACGAATAGCCAAAGGAGAAGACATACATTTTCATAAAATTTTGAAATTTGGGATGTTACCTGAATAAGTTCCTTTTTTGTTGTTTTAGATTTGAAATGCAAAGTATCCTCCTGGCAAAATTTTAATATACTACTGTTATTAAAAGCTCCTATTCCTAATAATATCTCAGGTACTATTTCCATGGAATCTCAAATAAAATATGCTATCACTTTTTTTAAGTTAAAAAAAAGAGTATCCTATTTTTAAAAAGGACAAAAGGTCATTTAAATGCAGATGACACAAACCTGAGCTGCATGCCAATGTTAAGGTTGTGCAGGAAGTTCCCCCCAAAAGCCATACAGTCCTGAGAAGTGAGCACAGCATGAATCCACCCTGAAATGGTTAAAAAGATAAAAAGCAGTGATTTTTCAATATGTAAACCAAACAAATATATCTACCTGTGAAGTAACTCAAAATATCAATCTGTTTATTTCATATTCCAGTACTAGAGAAATTAATGTTTATTACAAGCTATAGATTAATTTAATTATTTATTAAATGCCCATTATATGCTAGGCTCTGTGCTGAATTTGAGAAATAAGCTGAAGCTTTCTTGTAGTTGTTACTGTATTTGTCTTTTTGTTTTTAAAAATAGAGATGGGGTCTCCCTTTGTTGCCTAGGCTGGTCTCAAACTCCTGGCCTCAAGTGAACCTCTCACCTTGGCCTCCCAAAGTGCTAGAATTAAGGCATGAACCACTGTGCCCAGCCTGTTTTTGTTTTCCAGTTTAAAAACACAACCCAACTTTATATTCAAGATTTTACTATGAGACCAGCCAAACCTCGTTTGAATTAGAAAAGCACATTTTCCATTAGAGAACACTAGGACTGGTGGCACACTCCACATCCCAGTGTCGTCCTGAAATTACGTCCTGAAAGGGCTAAGCAGAGGAGGACCACAGGAGTCAATCTGAGACCTGACGCTGTAAGAAGGAAAAGGTACACTACCCGCATTTAATTATGAAGCGTTATGGTCCTGTAAATATAGGCGTTGCTGATAAAAATGATAATCTGTATTCCCATAAAAATGTTTACAAAGTGATAATCATTTCTAAGACATGACACCTAACTATTGAAAAAAATGTTGAGAGACTTGAAGACTTCACCAGAAATATATACTCACATATTTGTATGCAAATTAGCTTTTAAAATATACAAATCCCATTTTCTTTATATTTTTCATCTTTTGACCCCTCACTGTACTATAACACAATAACAAAAAAACCCTCAAAGGACTCACTTTCAAGTGTGCCCATTTCTGTGCTCAAAAGCACAAAGCCTTGAGCTTGACCTTGAAACCACAAATTAGAAGTCTGTGCCAACTACAAATCCTACACATCAGTGGCTCTCAAAAGCAGCAGTGCTGCCCGTTCAGGATGTTTTGGAACATTTAGGGGCTTTTCTGATTGTCACAATGATCTGGGAGCACTACTGGCAATCTGTGAGTGGGAGCCAGGAGTGCAACACAGGAGAGTGTTCCACACAAAATGAAATTGTCCTGCATTACTCAGGACTGTCAGCTTTTCCTGAGCATTCATATAGGTACAAAGCCTGTCCTATTAACTATCTGAGCCTAGAAATTAGAATTCTACTTTATATACGTGTGTGTGTGTGTGTATATACATACACACACACACACACACGCACGCACGCACACACGGTATATTTTCATGGTCTTGGCGCAATTTCCAGAAATACGAAAACTGTACTGTAGTTTGTTTGGAAGCTTGTCAGTTGCTAATTACCTTGGGTAAAAAAAAATCACATTGCATACAGCAGTGGTTCTCCAAATATAGTCCCCATCCCAGCAGCACTTGCATCAGCCAATAACTTGTTAGAAATCCACATTCTCAGGCCCACTCCAGATCCACAGAATCCAAACCTTGGCCATGAGGTCCAGCAATCTGTGTTGTAACCAGACCTCCAGGTGATTCTGACCCTCTGGGAAGTATCAGTACCTACACCAGTGCTACTGATAGAATTTGTGCTGCCACGGAGACACACCTAGATTGAGTTCCTTATGTAATTACCATTTCATTCTGTTCTCTAATGCTGCTGTGCCTAGGCAGGCACATACTGAAATAGTATTTCATTTTAAATAACCTTTTTATTTCCTCTTTATATTATAGTTAGGACATTAAATCTATTTAAAAAATTATTCTACGAATGTCAATTTATTATTTTGAAGAGGGTACAACAAAATACTTATTATAAAAGCGAGAAGTAGGAAGATTTAAGGGAGGGGCAGTCACAATGTGAATTAACCCACTCACAATGAAAATATGATACTTCTCTTGGCAAATATTCTGGTAGTTCTAAGGTACTTCTTCATTTATTCAACACACATTTAATATTATATACCAGAGGCAAGGCGAGAAAGCGGGGCTTGTGGGAACAGATCCCCTTGAACTCTACAGTCATGAGGGTCACCAAAACCAGCACACAATTGTCAAAACCACTGGTCTGGACAGTCTATACATTCATTCACATCTCAAAATGACAGACCTGATACCTATACTTGAGGCTACAGCTAAGACTGATACTCAGTCCTTTCTCTGAGGGTCTCTCAAGACACATCCTTTGCCTCCTAACTGTCTAGGGACAGCAGCCCAGATTCTTACAGGCTTGGTTTTGAATAGCAATGGAGAGCTGACCATAGTTCAGACTATCAAAATTAAAAACTTTTGTGCATCAAGGAACATTATCAAGAAAGTGAGCAGACAACGCACAAAATGGGAGCAAATATTTGCAAATCATATTTACTGATATGGGTCTAGTATAGAGACTATATAAAGAACGCTTACAAATTAAACAATTAAAAAAGACAGATAACCCAATTTTAAAATGAGCAAAGGGGGTTTGAATAGACATTTCTCCAAAGAGGGTATACAAATGCCCAACAAGAAAAATGCTCAGCATCATACTCATTAAGGAAATGTAAATCAAAATCATGAAATATCACTTTACATCCACTAGAATAGAAGGCAATTACAGCACTGGTGAGGATGTGGAGAAACTGGAACCCAAATACACTGCTGGCAGGAATGTAAAATGGTGCCATTTGGAGAAGAGTTCAGCAATTCCTCAAGAAGTTAAACCATGTAATGCAGCAATTCCACTACAAGCTATATTTACCCAAGAGAAATGAAAACATGCCTCCACATTAAAAACTGTATACAAACATTCAAAACACCACCATTCAAATAGCCAAAATGGGAAAACAACCCACATGTCCATCAACTAGTGAATGGATAAACGAAATACAGTAAAGTTGAGGACCCCTTATCCAAAATGCATGGCACCAGTAGTACTCAGATTCCAGATTTTTTTTTTTTTTTTTTTTTTGATCTTGGAATATTTGCATTATATACTTGCCGGCTGAACGTACCTAATCTGAAAATCCAAAATCCAAAATGCTTCAATAAGCATTTCCTCTTGAAGATCATGCAGATGCTCAAAAGGTTTAAATTTTAGAGCATTTCAGATTTTAGACTTTTGGATTAGGGATGCTCAGCCTGTATATCCTACAATGGAACATTACTGGGCCATGAAAAGATGAAGTACTGATACAGGCTACAACCTGGATGAGCCCAGGAAATAATATGCTAAGTGAAAGAGGCCAGATGCAAAAGCCCGCATGTCGTATGATTCCATCTACATAAAGAATCCAGAAGAGGCAAATCCACAGAGACAGAAGGTACATTCGTGGCTGTCAGAGGCTGAGGGGAGGTAGGAATGGGGAGTGACTGCTGAAGAGTTCAGGGTTTCTTTCTGAAACAATGAAAATGTTCTAGAATTAGATAGTGGTGATGTCTGCCCAACTTTATTAATCTACTAAAAACCACTGAGTTGTGTACTTTAGAAGGGTGAATATTATGGTATGTGAATTTTATCTCAATAAAAATAAAAATGGAGGCAAATGACATAAATACAATGCCAAAAGAAGTCCTAACTATAAAAGAAATTCTCTAAGGAACAAAAAGTAAAATGTCCAAGATCAGAATTATTTATTAACAAATGTCATAAAAACTACTTTCCAAACATGTTAAAGCCAAAGGTTCTAATTAAAAGCCAACTCCATGTGACTATCATTCATGGTGAGTAAGGGGTGAGATGAAAACCTTACCTGTAGGAACAAATAAGGTATGTCCCTGCTTTACCACACATTTGTAGCATTTATCCACCTTATCCCCAAAGAACACCTCACTCTGGGTCACAGATGAACTCCAAGATTCATAACGTGCCAAATTTTCATCTGTTGGCTTTATTAAATAAAAAATCTTCTCACCCTAAAAGGAAATATCATACTATTTTTGAAAAAGCAAAAGCCATACTTAGAATAGCCTACAATGATGCAATTTCCCAATACAATGATAAAATTGAGATAATTACCAGACTATTTTAGGTTCAAAGACATATTTCACATCGCTTATTAGTAGCTATTGCCCTCAGTAAACATTTTTATGTTTAAAGCTTCCCCTCCTCAACTGACGAGGAGTCAATAAAGTAGTGTTGAAGAAATAGCTGCAAGACAGGAGGGTAGAGAACCACAAACATCCCACTGACCTCCCTCACTGTCAAGCAGAGAAGTAATTATGTGTTGACAGGCCCACAGTCATCTCTGCAAGCTTTGCCCTTTCTACCAAGATCCACAGCATAATGATTATTTTTAAATAAGCTTCCTTTAATAAACTACTCCTTGCTTCTTCATGAAGAAAAAAAAAAACTGGAACCCAAGGACCCAGCATCAAATATAGCCCAGAACATTGCTGAGGCACAAGCATTTGATATAGATAAAGGCTCAGTTTCAATACCAGTTCTCTCCAATAGAACTTTCTGTGATAATGGAAATTTTTTGTGTCTGTGCTAACCAATACAGTAGTCATTAGCCACATGTGGCTACTGAGCACTTGAAATGTGCCTAGTATAAATGAGGAACTTAATTTTTAATTACATTCCATTTTAATTATTTAAATTTAGTCACACATGGCTCGTGACTACTGTTTTAAACAATGCAGCTCTAGATAAAGCAAGATGAACATAATTTAAAAAGAATTGGTTTTTTTGTTTGTTTTTTTGAGATAGGGTCTCGCTCTGTGGCCCACGCTGGAGTGCAGTGATGCAGTCACAGCACACTGCAGCCTCAACTTCCTGGGCTCAAGTGATCCTCCTGCCTCAGCCTCTTGAGCAGTTATGACTACAGGCATGAGCCACCACGCCTGGCTAATTTTTTTTATTTTTATTTTTAGAGACAGGGTCTCATTATGTTGCTCAGGCTGGTCTTTAACTCTTGGGAGCAAATAATCTTCTCACCTTAGCCACCTCTCAAAGTGCTGGGAATATAGGTATGAGCCACTGCACCCAGCCAAGAACAGGTATTTTTAAAGGCATCCCTGACTTATCCAACAAACTATCCTAGCCCAACATTAAGGCCAGAAGCAGTTATTACTGTAATTTTGCTCCTTCTTATTTAATTCAGGATATTTAATTAAAGAATAATTAAGGGAGAAAAGAATCAAAAAGAGACAAAAGGTTAAAAGAAACCAACTTAAAAGACGAGGGCAAAAGTAAATCTAATATAAATTTAAAAGTCATGGCTCTTCCATTACTTGAGATTTTTTTTAAAAATCACAACATTTGGCCAGGCGCGGTGGCTCAAGCCTGTAATCCCAGCACTGTGGGAGGCCGAGGCGGGTGGATCACGAGGTCAAGAGATCAAGACCATCCTGGTCAACATGGTGAAACCCCATCTCTACTAAAAATGCAAAAAATTAGCTGGGCATGGTGGCGCGTGCCTGTAATCCCAGCGACTCAGGAGGCTGAGGCAGGAGAATTGCCTGAACCCGGAGGCGGAGGTTGCGGTGAGCCGAGATTGCGCCATTGCCCCCAACCCGGAAAAAAAAGGAAAAACTTTTTTCTAAAAAAAAAAAAAAAAAAAAATCACAACATTTAAAGGCAAAGTGACAGGTCCTGGTTAAAAAGTAAAAAAAAAAAAAAAACTTCCCCCTTTACAAGTAGCATTTTTACAACAAATGAATATACCACTGAAAAACTAGGGCTATATGTTTTTGTCAGCGAGAGAACAAAAAATACCCCAGTCTTACCCAGAGGACATGGTACCAGACTGAAGTTCCACCGAAGTCAATGTGGAAATCGGTATAGCTGTCTTGAACTCCCATTAAGCAATATTTCTGAACAAATGGCTTGGGAAAGACTGAATCATCTGGCCAATAATTTTCCACCCAGGAAAGTTTTTTGGCTATATCCGGGACTTCCACCAATTCAGACATCCTTTTAAAAAACAAACATACACATATACACACACATTCACATCATGAGATTTAAAAATTCTTAAAAATTTCTTCTCCCATCTATACCCAAACCAAGTAATTAAATGGAACTTAAGGTTAACAACAACACTTAAAAGTTTAAAACACATCTTTTCTTTTCTTTTTTTTATTGAGACAGAGTCTTGCTCTGTCACCCAGGCAGGAATGCAGTGGTGTGATCTCAACTTGCTGCCACCACCATCCGTTCTGCCAGGGTCAAGTGATTCTTGTGCCTCAGCTTCCCTGAGTAGCTGGGATTACAGGCGTGTGCCACCACACCCAGTTGATTTTTGTTTTTTTTAGTAGAGGGAGGGTTATGCCATGTTGACCAGTCTGGTTTTCAACTCCTGGCCTCAAGTGATCCACCCACCTTGGCCTCCCTCAAAGTGCTGGGATTATAGGCACTTTGTGAGCCACCAAGCCCAGCCAAAAGCTTAAAATACATCTTATTTCTAAATACCTCTAAGCATCCCAATGTAAAATTTATAACATTGTTACCACTGGACAACTTTAGAAGTTACAACTATGTTTCTTCCTAAAATAAATACATCATTAAACTACATTTAGCTAACACTCAGAATGCAAAACCAAAATGCCCAGAACTACTCACTTTGTATCTGAAAATTCAAGGCTGATCACATTTAACACTTTTGGTCTGTTAGGATTCATGAAGTATTTAACATAATTGTGAAGTGTCATTTTGCTGTCTGCCTGCCTTGCCACATCAATGACATCTATCACTTTGTCACCACCTGCAGAGAAAAATTAGTCTTATTATTGGACTTCAGAGTTATATCAGCAGATGCTCTAATCAAAAATATTTTAACTTGGTATGATAATTAAACCAACTATAAAATTATGCAGCCTAGACAAAGATTTTTCCTATACTCTTAATTTCTAAAGTTCAACTGGACCTTTCAGGAAAACAGACAATTTTTCAGAGGAAGAGGAAAGCAGTAAGACAAGGCTGCATAATTTACACTGAACATATAAATGATTTGGCTTACAAAGCTTTCTGTATACCAGTGATATCTTGGCGTGTAGCTTATAATGACAAAAAATACATTATATTGGTATGTAGAAATTGTGCAACATTTTCTGGATTTCAGTTTTCTCGGGCATAAAATGAGGGGACTGACTGTTCCCTTTCACTTTTATAGCACCTAAAATATTCAAAGTCTACCATTTCAAAAAAAAAAAAACCAGACCACTCATTGGGGGAATTAGCATGCAATTTGGCCAGGATAATTTCTGCCCTCCTGATATTGTCTTCTAATATTCTCCTTCAAGAAAAAATTAGTAGTTAGGAAGCAAAAATCAGTTCACATTAGTGCCAGTGTCTGAAAGCCTGAGCTCCAAATTGTGATTAATTTACATTTTTCATATAAACCCATGAGGTGATGTTCACAGACCACAGCATTGCTACACTAGGAAGCATAATTCATTTCACAATGGACTATGGGATAAGGTAGAATTCAAAATATGACAATACTTAATCTGAAATAGAAAACAAAATGCCATTTTCTTTCTTTAATGCAACTTCATATAGGTTAAGAAAGTCTTGCTTTGTAGACTTCTTTATCTTCAGAAAGTAACACAAATTCTGTTAATGGTATTAAAGTGCTTTGCAGTACTAAAAAGTTAGCTATCAAGCAGTTTGAGCATTTTTTTTCTGCACATGTATCACACTAGCTATTTGTTTTGTAATTACCATCTATGCAAACAGGTTGAGGTAAAGCCTTAGCCTCATCCTCTAATTTATCAAATATTCAAATTTAGTTGAATACGAAGTTATGACATTTAGAATTCCTCAGTGAAACAATAATCAATGAGAATTGTCAACCAATGGCTCGATAAAGGGACAAGTTCTCAGATATTCCATGCTGAGGAGATAATGTAGTAAATATACAATTTTGAGTCAAAATAAATTTGGAATCTAATCTCAAATATTCTCTATTTACTGCTGACGAGGAATGACACCTACATATAGTCAGCTTTATCTGTAAATATCATGAAAATGAAATGACTGAAAATGTCAACAACATGGCAAGAGGTAAAGGGTTTCCCCCCTTATTTCTCAGGTCTTTCTGTCTTTTTGGTGAATCTGCAAAATCACAAATTAAGACCAGACATCATTAAATAGCAATATTCACCTAGTCATTACTCTAAAACAGGTTTGAAAATGTTTTACCACCTTTCCTCTAAGCAGCAGCAGGTCACAAAGCAGACTCCAGAAAACTAACTGTGCAGCTGGTATACTGGGATCTGGAAATTTTGCACCTGTATTCTACCAAACCAACCAATCCAATTTTCCAGTATCTTCCTTCCTGGTATCTATATCTATCCCTCAGTAATGATTTTCCCTAAGCAAGTATCAGAAAATGTAATGGCCCAAAAGAAAGCAGCAGGATGAAGCTGAGTAAATAAGAACAGGCAAAATGTGTCATTCTGTTTTTCTGAGCAGGAAACTAAACTAAATTGACATTTCTTCATTTAACCTTTAATATTACGAGGACTATCATTTTTACTTTTACCATGTTTTCCGAGGTACTTAAAGAAATTAAGTTCATACCTACATAACGTTCCACATCCATCACAGAAAATGTAGGTGGAGGGAGCCTGAGTCCCAGATCATCTAATTTAGGAACCATAATAGGGACATCAAATCCATGTTTCTCCAGATATCTTTGTGTCAGCTGGCTGCCATGCATCTTTACAATTATTTCATCGGCACTTAGGAAAAACATAAAGAATAAAAATGTCATTTTTATTGGTAAGTTCAGTTTTTAAAACATACTGTTGGTGACGGGTTAATTCATATACTGGATCATGCTGTATCAGGGGCTCTTAAACTATCATATCTCTTTCTTCTTCTAATGACAAATGTTTTATTAATCTCCTTTTGCTATCCTAAACAAGAATTTATAGATAATGTAGTGTACATAATTCAATACATATAATTAGAAAAATATATAAAGTGCTCTAAATGCAAAAAGAAAAAAACCAACCTTGTTTGTAGTGAAGTATGTACAAGTTGAGTATCTCTAATTTCAAAAATACAAACTCTAAAATGCTCAAAAATCCGAAAAAAATTTGAACAATGATATGGTGCTCAAAGTGCTCATTGGAGCATTTCAGATTTTCAGATTAGGGATGCTCAGCTGCTAGGGATAATGCAAATATTAAAAAAAAAAAAAAAAATCTGAAATTGTTTCTGAAACACTTCTGGTCCTTGGCATTTTGGATAAGGGACACTCAACCTGTATTTCAGTATGTTAACTACACCAGAAGACATAATAAAATAATAGGATGCTTAAAACTAGTTGTAATGAATGGTTAGATCTAAGTGAACTAGAAACATCAGAAGCCACTTGATACAAACTGCATAGGAATTTTGGAGAGCAAAAAAAGGTAGAGTGTGCATTCATTAGACTAAAAACTAGTCAAGCAAGAACGGTGACTCACGCCTGTAATTCCCAACACTTTGGGAGGCCAAGGTGAATGGATCACCTGAGGTCAGGAGTTCAAGACCAGTCTGACCAACATGGTGAAACCCTGTCTCTACTAAAAATACAAAAATTAGCTGGGCATGGTGGTGGGTGCCTTTAATCCCAGCTACTTGGGGAGGCTGAGGCAGGACAATTGCTTGGACTGGGGAGGCGGAGGTTGCAGTGAGCCAAGATCACACCATTGCACTCCAGCTGAACAACAAGGGCAAAACTCCATCTCAAAATAAAATAAAATAAAAACTTGTCAGATTTTATCTGACTATAACATTCTATACAACTATCTCAAGTCTGATGGAACACTGAACAATTAATTCTTGTTCTGCATATTGGAACATGACTAGCATCCCTGGTCCCTCCCCACCGAGACAAGTGTCCACAATGCTCCCATTGACAACTACTGATTTAAATGACCTGTTACAACCAGTTATTTAATAAGTCTTAATATCAGGTAGTGACTTTAAGCCAAGAAGGGTTGGACTTCCAGCTGCCCTCTCTAATGATCAACACTGATATGCATTACATTAACTTAAGTGTGGTTTGTCCCTTGCCTACCAGATCTCTTCCAATGGGACATTCTAGATTTTATCTTCCAATTGCTCGAAGGATACGGCTGCTATACATTAAGTGCATCACTTGCCTTAAAGGTTAAAACACAATAGTCTCCACTTACACAATCAGATCTTAACTGTAGGATGTCATCTCCTGCCTAGGTGGCAAGAAGACAGGAGAAAAAGGAGATGCTGGTTTTCTGAATTACTGGACTCCGATCTCCCAATCCTCTCAATAAGGCAAGGGCAAGTCTGAGGCCTAAGAAAACTGAGAGTCCTTTCCTAGATAGTCTTTTAAGTGGATGGCTTAGATCTTCTTCATTTGACTCATCTACTAAACTAGAACTCTGTATTACCTTTTAGTTTCCCCAGTAAGCATCCAAAATTGTCCCTCCTTCCCCCAACCTCTGAGGATTAAATAATTCCTTCAACATCTAAGGGAGAACTTTAAATAACGTTTATTCCCTGATCTCAAATGTTTGGTGTTTTACTTCCCCTTTTGATCAAACATATATAATGACAAGTGTTTAAAATATAGGTACAACATTTTTTGCAGGAGGAAAAACTGGAGACAAACTAAACATGTATCATGTGGGGATGGTTAAGCAAATTATAGTATCTACAGATTACTGCATACTATACAGCATTTAGGGAGTGAGGTAAATCATGCATACATATGGAAGGATATCTATGAACTATAATAAAGAAGGCAAATTGTACACTATGCATAACACTATTTTATTTTAAAATTATATATATCCATACATCCATATACATAAATGTTTTAATGTTTTTATGTAGAAAAGGGTCTCAAAAAACTTATACTAAGTCTTAAAATTCACTTTGTTGTATACACTTCTATGTTAATCGTATCAAGTATGTGTAATTTAGTAATTATTGTTACTGTACTATCGTTTTAAATGTTGCAAAGGTTTATGGCGTTAAAACCCAAACATCCTGAACTAATGGTAATTACATTTTGGACATATGCGATCATCCCTATAACCTGTTCTCATTTGTGGTCACTGGCAGTAAAGTCACATAAATTATTAGGCCAGTGTTTTTAACACTACATTTTTGTGTCAGAAACCTATTTGAGGAAAAAAAAAAAGAAAAAAAGAAAGAAAGAAAGCTATAGCTCCTCTCCCTGAGAAATGCACACTCCCAACTGACATGAAATTATACATACCACTTTAGGGAGCTCACAAACCTGTCTTAGGCCCACCAATGGAACCAAACTGAAAACTTTGGACCTAAGTGCCAAACCAATCAAGCATGAGACAATAAAAAAGAAAACAAACAAGCAAACATTTCTCCTACTTGGAAACTGATTAAAAAATATATATATATATTTTTTTAAGAATAGGGTATTTAACATCACAAAAATCATGTGGGAACACTACATTTTAAATATGTGTTCTTTCTGTCTCTTGACAGACCTGAGGGAGCCAACAGTAGATGCTTATCATTGTATGTTTCTGTGTAAGGGACAGGGGCTAAAGAGGAATTCTAAAGACTGAGGAGAAATAGCAGGGGTTTTATCATTTCAGGATCTGAAATAATTTCATAATAAGCTGCATGTGATACTGTGATTTAAATTTAAATTGAGCTTCCCCTCTTTAACAAGCCTGGCTATGATCTTGTGTAAAAGCCTATTAAGCATTATCACTTTAAATAGATGTCAGGCAGTGAGTAGGAAATGATCTAAATTAGCATGATTAAATGCTTTATTATGCTTTCGGCTGTCTTTGAGCAAGACAATTCAAATATATTCCATTATTTTTAAAAACTAAAAAAGCCCAGTCTTGCAGTGGTTGTATGTGTTTCTGGTGGACCTAGGGCAGAGATGCATATAAAAGCAATGAAGAAAAAAAGAGTTGGGAAACAGGAGAAGGTGAGGCAAAAGAAAAAAATAGGCAGCAGCTGCATATTATAAGGAACTAAGTGCTGGGAACAACTCCCTTAGATTAGTGTATTTCAAACTTTTTGGACCGTGACTCACACTTAAACGTTTTTTACAGGGTGACCCAGTGTGCACATACACATAACGAAAGTTCCATGAAAATATGCTTACTTAATCCTGCTACTTGGAATGAACTGATACTTTTCTGTTTCATTAAGGAAGAAAAAATGGTAAAAAGCTGGCTGAGGACGATAATGGGGTACAGCCTAAGTTTGAAAACGTTGCCTTTAGGTAATGTCACTGTATCAGATGACATTCTTACATTTTCTTTTATCGGAGTAAGTTTCCATACCTTGGGAAGACTCGAGAACGTAATTCCTTAATGAAAGTTCTAGTTCCAGCTTGCACAGGTTTGGAACCATCATCAATTTCTGTGTAGTCATGCCTGTGCCAGTTCCTCCTCTTCTTCACTGGATTTTTAGAAGATTAAAAAAAGAAAATGATTTTGGTAACTCGTGATACTATGTGCTTTATAATCATTATGTTTGTCAAAATCAGCAATAACAATTCTAAGTACATTAAAAACACTCAAGTTTTTAATGCGGTTCGAGGCCCGAGAATTTTGCTTAATGTAATGCTGCAATTACAGACAATTAACTGTGGATTAAAACCTACTCTCTTTATTTCAAAATATTTAAAATTAAATCAAGGAGTTCAAATCAGCAGTGAAGCCTTTTATAATGTCTACACTTATAGATAGTATACAATTTCCAAATTATATGCAATTATGATTTTCATCAGAATATTAGGTCCTAATATGATTATCCAGACCATCCAAATGGTCTTCTCAGGACAGGGCGTTTTATCTCACATAAGAAATCTATTCTAATAGCATAATTCCTTCTTTTTTTTTTTTTGAGACGGAGTTTCGCTCTTGTTTACCCAGGCTGGAGTGCAATGGCGCGATCTCGGCTCACCGCAACCTCTGCCTCCTGGGTTCGGGCAATTCTCCTGCCTCAGCCTCCTGAGTAGCTGGGATTACAGGCACACTCCACCATGCCCAGCTGAATTTTTGTATTTTTTTTAGTAGAGACGGGGTTTCACCATGTTGACCAGACTGGTCTCGATCTCTTGACCTCGTGATCCACCCGCCTCGGCCTCCCAAAGTGCTGGGATTACAGGCATGAGCCACCGCGCCCGGCTATTCCTTCCTCTTTCATGTGAAGACTTACTCCCCAAATAAGCAGTTACACTGACACAAAGAAGAGCAGGTGACTGAGTCATAATTAAAGAAAGATGGGTAGGATGACAAAATAAATAACCTCATTATTCACTCCAACGTTAAGACCCTGTAATTCTACAGCTCTGGAAGGCTATGACCTTCAGTAGTCACCACAATCGAAATCGGAAGACTTGGATTTGATTCCTAGTTCAGCCAATAGCTTTCTCTGCAACCTTGGGCAGGTCACTTAACACCTCTGGAGACTCCTCAATGTAGGAATGAAGGGATGAGTTAAGTCACTAAATTTTCAAACTGTGTGGAAAAACCCTTCACAAAGGGGAGATAGAGAAAAAGCCAAGGAATGATCTCTGGACCTCATTCCTCTTTCGACTAGAGTGGCACCACCTACAGCTCTTGTGCATTCTATAAATGTACAATTTCAGTTTTAAATCTGTTTTTTTTTTTTAAGTTTGAAAATTACTCTTAAGCCTAAAACCTCCAAGATTCTGGAAAATGTACTGACGTCTGTAACTTATTTAGAAATGCATTCAAAAACATAAGATGGGTAGACAGAATAGTTACATGGATAGACATGTGGTAGAGCATGTAATGAAAATGTTAATAGTAGAATCTAGATGGTAAGGCTTATAGGTGCTTGCTGTAAATTTTTCCAATTTTTCCTATATGTTTGAACATTTTCATAACAAAATGTTTTGAGGAAAACAACTTTTTGATTCCAAGTTATTTTAAACCTTTCCCGCCTTACAAAGATCATAGTAATACAACAACATTGGGTCTTCATGTGGATAAGGAGAAGTCACAATAATTAACATAGGTAGAAATCAGGCTTATTCCTAAGAGTCTAAAACAAGATTCCCAAGTAACTTAGGGCAGCCAAATCTTCAATATGGAAGAGGGTGAGTCCCATTAAAAAAAAAAAAAATCTCACAAGAAAAATTTAGAATCACAAAGCAAACTTCCTAGGAAATTCCACTAAGGCATCCTTTGTGTGTTATCTTTTCTCATTTAAAATCACTCCTAAAATTTGAGGGTATTTCATTCCAGATTTTTCTACTATATATAGATACATGACTCCATTTTATTTTCAACTGGGATCATAATGTTTACCCTGCTTCTATCATGAGCATTTTCTCCTTATTAAATATTTAAAACCAATTTAAAACAGACTACAATTTTAACATGTAGATACATCATATTACAATCATTTTTGATTCTTAAGCACTTAGTTCATTCTGAATCTTTCTTCAAAGTTGAGATAAATGTTTATATATATTAATGTTTCCCTGATTAATTTCTCAGAATAAATTCCAAGAAATGCTAGAAGAAAGATTTTTTTTTTTTTTTTTTTTGGAGATGGAGTTTCACTCTTGTTACCCAGGCTGGAGTGCAATGGCGAGATCTCGGCTCATCGCGACCTCCGCCTCCTGGGTTCAGGCAATTCTCCTGCCTCAACCTCCTGAGTAGCTGGGATTACAGGCACGTGCCACCATGCCCAGCTAATGTTTTGTATTTTTAGTAGAGACGGGGTTTCACCATGTTGACCAGGATGGTCTCAATCTCTTGACCTCGTGATCCACCCACCTCGGCCTCCCAAAGTGCTGGGATTACAGGCTTGAGCCACCGCACCCGGCAAGATCAAGATTTTTAAGACACTTGCTACATATTACAAAACTGCCTCCAGAAAATGGTACTAGTAACTTACTTTCCTTACCAGTGTTACACAAGCAGCCTCTTTCATAGCCCTGGGTTAATGATGGGCATCATTACTTTTTTTTTTTTTTTTAAAGCAGCCCATTTGATAGGTAAAGTATGATCTAGCATTTTAAAAATTTTTTTTTTTTTTTTTTTTATTTAAGACAGGGTCTCACTCTGTCACCCAGACTGGAGCGCAGTGGCGCAATCACAGTTCACTGCAGCTTCGAACTCCTGGGCTCAAGCAATCCTCCTACCTCAGCAACCCCAGTAGTTAATTTTTATTTTTGCAAAACAAATTAATCAGTGAAGTACATCAACTTTGGAATTAGACTGCTAAGGGTTCAAACTCCAGCTCTGCCAAATAGCTACATAAAAGGGCTAGCTAGATCATTTTTCTCATTTCTCACATGAAATTGTGGTTAAGTATTGAAGAAGATAACATAGGTAAGTACTTACTTACCTACTATAGTACCCAGCATGTAATAAGCTGCCAATCACTATCATTTCCTTTTAAATGTGCTGACTTGTAGGAAGTTAAAAGAAGGATACAATTGTGCTGTTGGGCTAACATGCTTAAAACATAAAATCAGCCACTGTATAACAGCTGACTAAATTTCTTAAAGGAAGGAGGCCAGTGAAGGAATATTTTAGTAATGGTTACAGGGGAAAGAGAAAATTTTGTTTGGATTACATGTGCCTAAAGAAGACAGAGAATATATATATACTTAAGTCATCTATGGGCTGTTTTTTGATACCTGCCCTCAAACAGAGTTCTTAATTCCCATTAAGAGGGTAAAAAGTCTACATTCACCATATTAAGTAGGTGTTATACTGGCTAAATGGTATCAATAATAAGGACTTCTGGGAATCTCTGAAACGAACAAGAAACCAGGGTTGCAAATAAGAGAGGCTTAATAGGCCAGGAGCAGTGGCTCACACCTGTAATCCTTGCACTTTCAGAGGCCAAGGCCAAGCCAGCCTGGCCAAAATGGTGAAACTCCGTCTCTACTAAAAATACAGAAACTGGCCAGGCATGGCGGCACACACCTGTAATCCCAGCTACTCGGGGGGCTGAGGCAGGAGAATTGCTTGAATCCAGAAGGTGGAGGTTGCAGTGAACCATGATTGCCCCAATGCACTCCAGCCTGGGTGACAGCAAAAGAGTCTATCTCGAAAAATAAATTTAAAAAAAGAGAGAGGCTTAACAGAAGAGGGAAAGGGATAAAAAGGGATTAACCAAGTTGGGGTAGAAGGTAAGGAGTAGGGAAGGTGAGCCTTGAATCAAGATAAAACAGATGACTGGATCTTGGGCGTTTTCCCTGAAAGTACTCAGAGTTGGATGTTTGCCCAGAAGATAGCCAATGCCTGACCTTACATTCGAGAAGCAAAGGGAAGCTTCTGTCCAAAGCATAATTATTCAAAGTGAAGTCGTGATCCATTATAAATTGTGTAATCAATTTAGTGAGCATGACATGTTTTTTAACAAATTAAATCACACAGGAAAAATAAAAAAATAGAGTATATCACATTATTCTGCCTCACAGCAACTTAATATTTCATAGAAGTTGAATTCAAATTATTTCATTTTGGGACTATATACTTAAATTCTAAACTAAAACTGCTATAAATTTTAGGTAAGTTTCCCTTAAGATAACAACACCATACTCAGTGCTAGCCAGAGAAAGATCCTTTCAAAAACATAAACTAGTCAATTACACTTGTAACAGCTCCACCAATTTGCTAACCTCAAGTTTTATACTGTATACATAACAAAAGGAATAGCCTCTATTTTACAAGGAAATATTTTAATGCATTCATGTAGCTTAAATTTTTAAATATAAAGAAATTAGAAAAATTACTAATATTTCTAACAAAACAAACGGGCAGTCAGTTGCCAGTAAGTCTCTTGAAAAATAGAACAAAATGTCTGCTCCACTGGAAAAAAGTACTAAAAAAAAAGCTGCATGTAAAATAAAGAGGTCATATACAACCAACCCAAGTATGTCTATCAAGAGGCAAAGGTTTTAAACTGACAAAGCCTATAGTTTTCTTTTTTAAAATTTGCAAATACAAATATGCCAGCCCACAGCCTAAAATTTCAAAATAAATAGTTATTACAGGCCAGGCGTGGTGGGTCATGCCTGTAATCACAGTACTTTTGGGAGTCTAAGCAGAGCTGGAGACCAGCCTGGGCAACAAAATGAGACCTTGTCTTTACAAAATATAAAAAATTAGCTGGGTGTGGTAAAGCGTGCCTGTGGTCCCAGCTATTCTGGAGGCTGAGGCAGGAGGATCACTTGAGCCCAGGAGGTCAAGGCTTCAGTGAGCTCTGATAGCTCCACTACACTCCAGCAAGGGTGACAGAGCAAGACCCTGTCTCAAATTTAAAAATATATATATACAACATAATCCAAGCCTTTTAAATATTTTCTCTCCCATTTGCACAATAATAATATTCCAATGTATTCTTCTGAAGCATCTGTAAAAGGCTGAAAATAGATATCATTTTAGGTACGATGCTGGTCCACTCCAGTAGATGCCTGGGGCTTCCCTGCCTTTGCCCTCCCAACTTAAGAAGAAACCTGTCTGGTGTGTCTGTGTACTTCTACTTCCTCAGATCTCAGGAAGGGGTTTCAGGCAGAAAGGATGGCTGAGAAGGACTCTAGGCCATACACAATATAGCAACCAAATTCAGAAAACGTAAGTAATATTTTAGCCTATCAATGCTCTCATTTTCTCCTTAAAATATAAGGCATAGGAGTGCACTGAAGTCTTATTCTGTATACTATCCCAAAATACTACTAAAGATCTTCTATTTGTGAAGAGAGCAAAACAAGTGAAATCAGTTTCCAGAAACAGAAAAATTTTACTTTACTACAATGTCAAACAATGTAGTTGAATTTGGGGACTCGGCACTGGCAATGAAGACTGATAGCATATTTTTCCCCCTTAATCTTTTGCCTTAACAATTCAGACAAAAACTACATCCAAAATACCTTGAGCGAAATCTTTCCTTATAGTTCTTGATGGGTGTAATATATAACACATAGCGTGCCATTAAAGTATTGCCATGTACATGTAAGTTTGAAATGTCAGGTTTTTTTTTTTCCTGAAATCTCCATTTTTATTTAAGCTTCTAGTACTTACTCAAGGAGGAACCGTGTAAAACTGCACAGTTGGGACAGTGATACAGGTCAATGTCAACAGCATGATGTTCTTCTACTCCAACACAGCTAAGACAAAGAAAAAATCAATGTGTAAGTAGGCTGAAAATCTTCACTTAACTCTAATACAGTGGTTGGAATTTAGCTGAGAAAGGTACAACCACCTCAACAACACATTTTTGTAGAGCACAGAAACACATATAAAGATAAATTTTATTCTGTTCTCTACAAACCTGCTAAGTGAGTGTGGGGGAACATACTAAAAGTAACTATCTCCTAGCAAGAGCAGAGACATCAGAAATAATACAATTATAAGCCATAAAATCCTCAACCATTATGTTAATGTCACATGTTATAAAACGTCAACAAAATGAGACAAAAGATAAATCACATTAAAATGTGAACAATGAAAACATTATATGACAAAATTTGTGGGATGAAGAACTTAGAAACATATAGCTTTAAATGCATCCATTAGAAAAAAAGTGGCTGAAATTAATGAGCTATGTATCTAACTCAAGAAGTTACAAAAATAATAGCCAAAAAAAACTTAAAAACAGAGACAGAAGGAAAAACAAAGAGAAGAAATCAATGACACAGAAAACATGTAACAGAGCATTGAAGACAAAAATTGATTCTTTGAAAATTTTTTTTTTACTAGAGGCTTGCCAATTTTATAAATTGGCAAACCTCTAGTAAAGCCAAGATAAAAGAGGGAAGGCATAACCCATTCTAGGAATGAAAAGGGAGGCAAAACTTAGATCCTAAAAATATTAGATATAAACGAGGATATTATGAACAATTTTATGCTAAGAGATTTTAAAATATTAGATATGGGCAAACCTGAGTCATGAGCAAATAGAGTATCTCAACAGTCCTGAACAATCACTTAGTAATTTTAAAAATTGACACACAAAGAAGACTCCAGGCCCACATGACCTCACATGCAAGTTCTATCAAATACTCAAGGAATAAATAAATCTAATATCAAATTTATTCCAGAGAGCAGGAAAAAAGGAGTTGCTCCCTAACTCAATTCATGACAGCATTACCTTGGTACCAAAACTTGGAAAGAATTATAGGTTATTTATGAGCAAAGATGCAAATATTAAGTTGGGTCTATCCCAGGAATACAAGGTAGCTTTTAACACTAAAAATCTTAATCAGTGAAAACACTTATTAGATTAAAAGAAAAAAAAACATATGACCATTTAAAAAGATGCAGAGAAAGTATTTGATAAAATTCAAAATTTATGTATGATTAGAAAGTAAACAAACCTCTTAGCAAGCTTAGAGGATACTTCCATAATCTGGAAAAGGGTACTTTTAAAATATCTTATTCAAATAACATGAAAGCAGTCACTCTGAGATTAAGAACATAGCAAGAAAGGCCGGGCGCGGTGGCTCAAGCCTGTAATCCCAGCACTTTGGGAGGCCGAGGCGGGTGGGTCACGAGGTCAAGAGATCGAGACCATCCTGGTCAACACGGTGAGACCCCGTCTCTACTAAAACTACAAAAAATTAGCTGGGCATGGTGGCGTGTGCCTGTAATCCCAGCTACTCAGGAGGCTGAGGCAGGAGAATTGCCTGAACCCAGGAGGCGGAGGTTGCGGTGAGCCGAGATCGTGCCATTGCACTCCGGCCTGGGTAACAAGAGCGAAACTCCATCTCAAAAAAAAAAAAAAAAAAAAAAAAAAAGAACATAGCAAGAACACCTGCTATCACTACTTCTGGTGAACACTGTGCTAGAGGATGGACTGGTACAGTAAAATAAGGAAAATAATTAAAAGGTATAGGGGTTAGGGGGAAAAAAAGCTATCATCTGCAAATGCTATGGTTACACATGCAGAAAATGCAAAACAATCTATAGAGAAATCATATGACTCAAAAAGATTCCTAAATATTAGTATATAAAAAACCCTATTTCCATAAACCACCAATATAAAGCTAAAAAGTGAAATAACATACCATGTACAACTGCATGAAAGTGTGAAGTACAGTGGAATAAATTTAACAAAAATTATGCAAGACTTCTTTAAGAAAAAATATAAAATATTATTGAGAGACTTTAAAGAAAACCTAAATAAAGGGAGATATACATCATGACCATGGGTTTGAAGTTCAATAATGTAAAGATATTAATTCTCCTCAAAGTGATTTATAGATTCAATTTAATTCCAATCAACATCTGTGGAACCCGACAAACTAGTTCTAAAATTAATATGGAAATGTACAGGGCCAAGAATATGCAAAGCATTCACAGAAAACAAAAACAAAACAAACCCCCCACCCTAAAACTCTACCAAGTATCAAGACTTATTTAAAGTGCAATCTTATTTAAAAGAATCAAGGCAATATGAAACAGATGGCAGTGCCCAAAACCAGATCTATGCATATGTGGACGCTCATGTGTAACAGAAGACATGCAAGAGCACACAACAACAACAAACTTCTCAATATAAGGTCCTAAACATTTTTTAAATCGCTTTTATATAAATATCTTATATAGCTGGGCATTGTGACTCACAACTGTAATCCCAGCACTTTGGGAGGCTGAGGTGGGCAGTTCACCTGAGGTCGGGAATTCAAGACCAGCCCGATCAACATGCAGAAACCCCGTCTCTACTAAAAATACGAAATTAGCCAGGCGTGATGGCACATGCCTGTAATCCTAGCTACTTAGGGAGGCTGAGGCAAAAGAATCGCTTGAATCCAGAAGGTAGAGGTTGTGGTGAGCTGAGATCATGCCATTGCACTTCAGCCTGGGCAACAAAAGCAAAACTCTGTCAATAAATAAATAAATATCTTATATCAGCCTGGCAGTGGCTTATATCTGTAATCCCAGCATTTTGGAAGGCAGAGGCAGGCAGATCACTTGCAGTCAGGAGTTAGAAGCCAACTTGACCGACATAGCAAAACCCCATCTCTACGAAAAATATAAAAGTTAGCCAGGCATGGTGGTGCATGCTTATAATCCCACTACTTGGGAGGAGAATCGTTTGAACCCAGAAGGTGGAGACTGCAGTGAGCCAATATCAAACCACTGCACTCCAGCCTGGGCAACACAGCAAGATTCCATGTCAAAAAAAATATATATATATATATTTTTTTTTAATAAAACATATTTATGTAAAAGATATTTATATATAAAATATATTTTATATACATATATATCTTTTATAAGATATCTTATAAAAGATAAAATATATTTTATATTTTATTTTGTATTTATTTTATAATTTTATAAGATATATTAAAATATCTTTTTTAATAAAAAAAAGCAAAATAAAATTAGACATCTATCTCATAACATAAAAATTTATTCCAAAGTAGATCATAAAACACAAAGTACAAAGGTTGTATAACATAATATAGAAAATATCTTTATGACTTTAGGGCAGGAAGGTCTTAATTAAAACACAAAAAGCACCGTCCGTAAGGGGTAAAAGTGGTGACTTCCACCATATTAAAACAAACTCCTATTCATTAAACTATAAAGAGTGAAATACGCCAGAGCAGCAGAAGACATTACAATACAGGTGGCCACCAAAGGAATTACACTCAGAATATACTGAACTCCTACAAATGAATAAAAAAAAAAAAAAAACCCAGTAGAAAAATGAACCAAATACTTGGACAGGCACATCATAAAAGGAACTCTAAATGGTTGAATCACACATAAAAAGGTGTACAACCTCATAAGTAACTGGGGGAAATATAGATTAAAAGCACAATAAATACAACATACCCAACAGACCAGCTAAAACTAAAAAGCCTGATGATACTACATGTTGAAGATGATGTGGAGCAATAGGAACTTTAAATTGATAATCTGATACAGCCACTGGAAAATAATTTGGCATTAAAACTGAAGAATCTTACACTCTACAATTATTCTATGACCAAGCAAAACCTTTTTTAGGTAAGCACACCTTAGAGGAACTCAGGCACTAATACGGAACCGCTTACAGAATCACTATTTGTGAGTCTATAAATAGTAAAATGGATAAATACAGCATATTATCATAACAGAACTCTATATGGTAATGAAAATGAAAGAATCGTACAATAAATGAATGAATTCTACAAGTTAATCAATATTGAGTTAAATTTTAAAAAGACATAAAGGAGTATATATGGTATATTCTATTTATATAGAAAATTCAAAACTAGGGAAAGCTGAAGTATATTGCTTTGGGATAACAAAACTATCTTTAAAAGCAAGGAAGAGACAGATCTTAACAGTAGGACAGTGGTTTCCTCTGGAGATTATAATCTGGAAAGGATGGCAGGTGGTATCCTGGGGTCCTAGATGATTGTTATTACATGGGTCCATATTTTATGATTATTGGTTAAACTGTAGATTATGTTTTAGGTACTTTTCCTCTATTATTATTCCATAATTAAATACTAAATAAAAATACACAATTAATATACAATTAAAATACTAAATTTCATAATTAAAATTCTACCCACAACCATGTAAAACATCAGGTAAACAAAAATCTTGAAATGTATTAATCTAATAACTAAAACAAAATATCAAAAGCAATAAATCAGAGACCCCCGAAAACAAGCCTACTCTCACGTGAGAGAACTCTAGTACACTTGCTACTATAAAGTCTTTGAGAGTTTGCGTAGAGCTTACTGCAGTCCCAAAAGGTCAAAACCAAAAGATGTCAACAAACAACATGACACTGTTGTTTGAATACTGAATCCATGTATAAATCAAACTATTACAATTTGCTTTTGAGTAGAACACAAGTTTATTTTTCCAATTTGGATTTACATCATTTTCCCCATAAAAAACAAAAGGTGAATATGCTAATTGTTTAAAAACTTATTTTTTAACTGAAAGACTACAAATTTCCAATTCAAGAAGTAAATGTTATACAAAATTTTATATATCTGTACATACAATTCCCTTGGTCCATAGTTTCCTATAAGAAACTCAAAAAGGTTTCTGTCACCCAAAGAAAAGGTTAAGAATCGCTGGATGGAGGATTCACACTTCCCAACTTCAAACTCACTTAACGAAGCTAAGGTAATCAAGACAGTGTGGTACTGGC